ACAATTAATCTGTCTTTTTTTTCGAAATGGGATACAAAAATTACAACACGAAGACTGCCTCAATTCAAAATAGTAAATTTTCTGAGCCGGATTGTTTCGCCGCTCAGTCTTAAATACCAATTTCTATTGTGTGTTTTATGTCTAAGTGACACACGGATTAGATAATATTAAACGCGATCTGTAATGAATAAATTTAAATTAAAAAAAATCTAGCGAATTAGGCTCCTTTTCAATAGCATTGTCAAACTAGACTTCAAGATTTTGTTAAGAATATAGCATTGCCCAGCAACTAAATAAGACAGTTTTTTCCATAAGTTCAGAGACCTATATCTACATTTTCAGATAATAATTAAGATCAAAAATGCATAAAAAAGTTTTTAAAAAACATTCACGGCTGGTTTGCTGAAGTCTTAGTAGCCCAAAATCAAAAGCAGTATTCTTAGATTTTTTTGGCTTAAAGTCACAATTTGTGAAAGAAAAAAAACAATTATAGCAGGTCAGAGCTCAGAATGTGGAACAATTCATTAACTGAGGCATCATTGATCGAAGTCAAAATCAGTTGTCAGTTGTCTTTTATTGCACTTCTCAATATCTCATGGACAGATTCTGATTGAATTTTGATCATACTGTAAAAATATTCAATGGTGATTTTAAAAATCCCTTGAAAAACTCTACCGACCGGTAAAAAAGTTTGGCTGAAAAACATCAAAAGAACGAGCGGATTCTTCCATCTATTTCAGTTTCACTTTGCGCCTTGTAGAAAAATGCTGATTGTAAATATCTGATTGTAAATATTTTAAATATCTGAAAAAAATGATTACTACTCAAACTATCAACGCGTTATTTGAATTCTTAGTGTAGCATGTATATTTGTAGAAGACAAGGCAAAAACATTTTGCACCAAATAATCACAGAAGCATGACATAATATCTGACATAATTTCAAGCCAAACATGAGGTTGAAGCCGAAACATACACAGTATCTTCGTGAAAAATCCCGTAAAAAGAGTGATTGCGAAAAAGCCCTGAACAATACAATTGGCATCTAACGTCTATGGAATAGTTTTCAATTTAGAGACAATTTGAGGATTTTTTGAAAATTATCCCCAACAAGCTGCAAAAAGTACAAGGTGATATGTTTCGCTTATAGAAAGGAGACAATACTGTATTTATAACAAGGCGAAGCTCGGAGTGTTCCGACTTCGCTTTAACGCCAATTAGTTTGCTTGAAAAATTGAGTTTTTTTCTCATTTTTTCGTGATTTTATCGCAATCAAGCAATGCAATTTCTAATAACAAACAGTAGAGTATCAGCCGAACACTTACCAGTAAAGGTTTGAAATTTTCAGGCTAAATGGTAAAGAATTTAGTTTCCAGTTATCCGGAAATGCGTCTCCGTTGTGCACTACCTTTTCAAAATCCCATAAGTTTACGAAGATTGATCACAGATAAAAAATTCTGAAAAAAAATATCTGCGCTCCGGATAGCAGCCCAATAGCATCAGAAATTGTCCAACAAAAACGGTTAGTAAACAATCAAAAATTGACTGAATAAAAAATCACCCCCAGCACAATTAATCTGTCTTTTTTTTCGAAATGGGATACAAAAATTACAACACGAAGACTGCCTCAATTCAAAATAGTAAATTTTCTGAGCCGGATTGTTTCGCCGCTCAGTCTTAAATACCAATTTCTATTGTGTATTTTATGTCTAAGTGACACACGGATTAGATAATATTAAACGCGATCTGTAATGAATAAATTTAAATTAAAAAAAATCTAGCGAATTAGGCTCCTTTTCAATAGCATTGTCAAACTAGACTTCAAGATTTTGTTAAGAATATAGCATTGCCCAGCAACTAAATAAGACAGTTTTGTCCATAAGTTCAGAGACCTATATCTACATGATACTGATTTCTGTGCAAAGTTTTTTTTAAATAAAAAACTGGGTTGAATTTTTTTTGTCGAGTATTTAGTATGTTTCACATTAAGAAATCATAAAAATCCTTGGTTTTTATGGCTTAGATCTACATCAACAGAAACGGATAAAATAGATTTTAAACGGATAAAATTAAAAATAAGGGCTCTGATTCTCCAAATTGTTCTCGAGTGGCACCTGCAAACAGGCTTGTTGCCTTACGATGACCATTCGAATCGGCGCTACCCAAAATGTGCATTTATAATAAATTTTTTTTTAATGTGCCTGATTCGTAAACGAATTCATTATTATGTCCGAAAAGGGCCACGAATTCATTATAAATCCACACAATTGATCAGAACGATATGTTAATTTTCGAATTTATGCTCATATTTTTATTACTTTTCAGGTGGTATTCTGTCAAGACGGTAATTGAAAAGTCGAAATTCTTCTGGAAAAAAAATTAGTTCCGTCGATTATTAAAAAATAAAAAAAATTAGCACGATTATTCCGTCACTCTACTCAGAAGTTGGAACATAAAATACCAGCCGGTTGAAAAATAGTTGAAGGGAATTGGCACCTTCTAGAAGAAGTTTATATATTTTTTTCTTTTCTTCTTCGATCTTTAAATCGACCAATAAAGATGTTACCACCGGAAATTTTTTGTCAGTGTTTTGCTCACTTATCTCAAACCGGCGTTTCTTGCAACATATTTACGAGAAAATACAAACATGACTTGAGGCAACTGATGTATATGAAAAAAACAGTATACTTATAGAAATTGCAGAAATGGAGTATTTTTCCAAAGTTTAAAAACAAAAAAACTATAATCGTGTTAAATTTTGCATCCAAATTTTTCAAAACAATTTTATAACAATATAATAAGTAGAAATTGAAAAAGGTAGTCTTTTTCCAATGTTTAAAAGCAAAAAAATGTAATCGTGTTAAATTTTGCATCCAAAATTTTCAACCCAATTTTATAACAGTTTTCAGATTCTTTTTCAACCGCAGTCCGAACTGTAAAAAATCTATAACATAGTCTAGTTGAAAGTGAAAAAGCAGAAAAAAATTTATGTAAAATGTTGTTTTCTACTTAATGTTGATTGAAACAAGGATAGCCGGTTATTGTGCAAGTAGCACAGAACATTCCGACCATAATCTTAAGAAATACAACGAAGTTTTTTCAAATTTTGTCGTTTTTTCGGCGTGGTAAATTAGGTATTTTAGGTACAAAAAACTAGATTACAAACCCTGAAAATTTGATATATTCGACATCCATATTGAAATAAGCAAAATTCAAAAACCATTTTGCAGAAAAATTACTATACTGGAAAAACAAAAAAAAACTCGATATTCAAAAAAAACATATGATTTCAAAACTCGATATTCAAAAAAAACATATGATTTCAAAAAAGCGCTAAAATACTCAGAATAAACTAATGTAACCCAAAAAAAAACTAAGTTTTACGTTTTAAAGTAAGCTATTATAAGCTTTCAGGCCATAATAAGACTGCTCGCTTGCTCAAAATGAGACAAAAAATCAAAAATTTTCAAAACTTTATAATGTGGTTCGAATCACGCCTGTAAGGGCTTTAATATGATATATCATTCAACCCAGTCCAATAATTTTTGTGGTACCTGATTTTGCGTGGAAAACAAAAAGAAAAAAACGTAAATAACAGCCGATAACAAAGTTGCTACCAATTTTCAATGGTCGGAACAATAAAACACACCCGAATATGAAGTTCCTCTCCATTTTCATTGGTTTGAACAATAATTGAAGCTATTATAGCAGATAATGAGATTTTAAATTTCAATTAGAAAAACACAGAGTTCAGTAATCATCAAAACAAACGCAATGTGAAGCGGTCCGCCTGTGATTTCCACCTTAAGTGACTAGGAGCACCTATCTTAGCATTAAACAAGTAAGCGTTACATAAATTACCGCCAAAATTTTCTTGTCCAAAAAATTTGAAGACAAGTGCAGTCTCTGTTAATGCTGATTTTGGCAGTTTTTTCATGGATTCTGCATTTAATTTTTAAATTTCACAAAAATGAAGCTATGTAATAACGTAAATATTTTTCAGCGAAAAAAAAACATCTTCATTTTTTGACATTTTTCGATTTTCCGAAAACTGACAAATACAAACTAAATTTATTCGAAAATGCCAAAAGGCATTTTGCATGTAAAATTTGCACCAGTCAACTCGCTTGTTCACAGTTTCAAATTGATTTATTACAGGAAAGTTAACAATAAAACGCATTAAAAAAATACAAATAGGAAGACCCACAAATTTTGTCCATGTCCTGGTAACTATTTTGCTTCATACTTACATTGACAATTAAAATATAAATGTGTCTAAAAAGTTGATTAAAGGTCGTTTGCTTAAATAGTTTCATTAAATTTTTTTAAATTATAAAATTAATTCAAAATAATTTCATTTGTTCACACTGATACGATTCAATCAATAACACTTATTAAAAACGCATTTCAAAAAAATGGCAAATAAATGTTGCCCATTTCCTGGTAGTTATTTTGCTAAGGCCGAGCAAAATAAATTCTCATTTTCTGAGGGCAAAAATTATTGCTCTTCAAAACCGATCCTGTTGCTTAGAAAAAAATCTTAAATAATTTCTTTTCTGAGTTGGATTTTTCTGATAAGCATTTGCGATAAGCTGGAACACAAAATATTTTTTCTTCGTCTGAGAACTCAGAAAGCAAGCCACTTTTGAATTAAAAATGGACAATGTTTTTCTACCATTTTTGCGTTTGGAGAGCGTCATTTGCTTTCATTTAGCAGATGAACGTAAATAAATCGAAACTGAAAACCACCAAAAAAGACTTTTTTGTTAAATTTTAAGACTTTCTAAAATTTTCACAGAAGTAATAACTCGTTTCGTTATTGTACACTTAACAAACCAACCAACAGTAGTTGTACTTGAACAAACTTGTAGCTCATCTTCTTATGCCAACAAATTCGGTACCTAGATTTTTTTAATACATTTTGAGAAACTCTTCTAGATTGTGCGCGGACAATAAATACTTTGAATATCGAAGATTTAAAAAAAGATCTAAAATGCAGGTAATTTGAATTGATGAATAAAATTTACAATTTTTATACTACAATATTTACAAGCTGCGCCCATTATGTTCAACGCATGAATTTCTTTTCCTAGACAAGTGTGACTTTTTCAGTTTTGAATTTTATGTACAAGTTTTAAATTACATGAATCGAGTCTATAGATAATTGATTCAAACGATTATAAACAATAGATTTTGCTCCGATTATAAACAAATTCCCAGTGTTTTTTCTCTATTCAACTTTCTCTGTGTTCGGTTAACTTATCACTTGCTCCTGTTGGTCATATTTTGTTCATTGGCGTTCTCGCCGAAACTGGGCGAGACAGCATTTGCAGGAGGTGGGATGAGAAGTTTGGAGATCCAGCGGCCAAATTCGCCTAAAACAGAGTCTCTGGATACAGATGAACCATTGAGCGGATCGGATATCCTAATCAATTTCTGTGCAAAGAACCAATTCCTGTGCAAGTAGCACACAATGTTCTCGACTGCACGAATTTTTACTACAAATTTTAAAAATAAAATCCAAACCAAAAAAAATTCAAAAATTTCCAAGTTTCATAGTTTGTGCACATTTTATATTTTGGATTTTTTTTTCTTTTTTTTAGTGTCAGCAGATAGATTTTAATAATGGTCCATCAGAACCTGTTCATAATAGATTAAAAACTTTTTTAAAAAATCCCAGAATTAAATTGGAAATTCAGTAGTTTAACTTAAGACTCCGAATCACAAATCAAAAGTCTTCGATATGATAGCTTGAACCCCCTACGAGCTTTCTTTGGGGTGGTCAAAATCGACTGGCAAAAACAGACCCTACGCCATTATTTGTTCCAACTTCGTGAAGTGATCGGAACAACAACCTGATTATCCGAGGAAATAACTAAAGTAACTAGTAGGCATGCAAGACGATTGGACTTGTCAGGTGGAGTAATTTTCCAATCACAAGTTGAAGAAGTAAATCGAGCGTTACTGAACTGTCTACACATTCAGAGGCGCTTGGAATTTTTTTCAGTGCGCAGGAACTATTCAATGAACAGGGTGATTTTTCGAGTGGCCCTATTTGACCTAAGATATCTGCGCGGCAGGTAAATTTCAGAAGAAAAACAGGCAAAAAATGAAGCTGTACGTTATTTTTTGGAAGGTTTTGAGCCAGATATTTCGTTTTTCGGTGCGCGCTTTCCCCTCAAATTGCAATCATTTTGCTTTAACTTTAAAAAAAAAGATCCGCAAATTCTGTAGAGCATTACAAAATGACGCATGATAAATACTCTTTCTGCTCTTGATGGTAAGCTTCCTGAACACCATTTTCAATCATTTTAGTTTCAAGGTCAGAACTAATCGTATTGACTAATCATTTAACTATTTCGTTTTACTCACTTGACTTGATGAGACTACCACAACTTAGGTTGAATGTCTGTTCGATCACGCGCACTTGGGTGACCTTGGTTGAGAGGCTCGGGATCTGAAAAAAAAACAATCAGTTCGAGGTCAAAACGAAATCAATTTGGGGAGCGGTGGTGAAGTGGCTACGTTTCCGCTTTTAAGTAGAAAGCTCTGAAGTTGGTGCCTTCCCTTGTGATCAAATCATCTTAGTGCAACGTAATTATCCAACATGATGTAATTGAAAACTTTCTGGCTCCCACAAAGTGTTTAATGTGGTTTTTTAATGTCTCTCACTAGAGGTCTAGAGGTGAAGCGGTTGCTTTAGTCTCTAAGGTCTGAGAACCCGGTCGGACTTTGTTTTTGTTTACAGTATCTATCAAATTGAAAACAATTTCTTGGAAAATTTTGAATTTTCGGACGTTCGTTTGTCTGTTTATTAATTGCCTGCTTCATTTTCAAAGCATGGATTTTGCTTCTGATTTGAACATTTCGTTCCATAATTGTGTCGCACTGTTATTTAGTTAGTTTAGCGACTCGGATTTCAAATACGGTTTTTTCCTCAAATTTAAATGTTATTAAAATGCTTTTGGTTTACGTTTGTCGGCTCAATGGCCGTCTACCCTAATATTGTCGGTTTATGGCCACTCGTTAAAGGATACTAAAAGCTGTTGTTTGTTTGTTGCTCGACTGTTTATCCGAAATATACTTTTTTTTTTAGAATTTATGATTTCCGTCTCATTTTCTTTTCACTAGTTGGCAATGCTACGTTGCGTTGTATCGCAAGCGAATCGAAGCTCCGCTTCGCCTCTGTGTAAACTTCTGCATAGTAGAGTCTACGGGTTTCGAATTTTTGTCATTTATTCAGCAGAAAACAGAACCATTTTTTACAAGTTTCGAATGTGCTGTTTAGGTTTTAACGAAAGCTCAGATTGACATTTAGGACTAATCATTTTCTAGGGCTAACAGTTTTTCTTTCTAAGCAATTGTATACACTAACACGTATTTTTGATCAAAAAAAATTTATGAATTTGATCAAAAAATTTTTTTTTTTAAATTGTTTTTTTTTTGCGAAAAGTAACAATTTGTTATCGGAACATTCCTGTTATTTGGACAGCAACCTGGTAGTAGGACATGCATTATAAATTAATTTTACATTTAACGCCAAATTATTGGCTATATCTTTTTCGGTCAACGAATATGAACGAAGTTAATGAACCTTAAAAGTGCTCAATTGGACGTCTGAAACCCTTTCCAAACTCATTTTAACACGCAGAAAACCGTGTCTAAAATCTAATTAAGCTACAAAGAGCCGTTTTGTGGCAGTTTAAGTTGCTCAATCTTGCGGATATTTCCAACAATTTGGCATTAACTATAATTTTATGAGAGAGCAATTCTGATCGATTGGCGGTACCTGTTCTGGCCTGGTCAGCCCGTCGTCTATCTGCGTGAACAACTGCAGCACCATCTGCAGACAGTCTTTGAACAGATCCTATAACACAACATAGTGTAGAACATAGTCTGGAAGAATAAAATATTTTTTACTGGCCTTTACTGGATTCTAAATACTTTTAGACACAAAACAGAAGGTTTCAACGAAAGATTTCAATGCATCCTATTCTAGCCGACTAAATTCATTATTGTCTCACGCATAAAGCATCAGTTCAAGACGAATTTAAAAATATCTGAAATGAAGCCGCAATTTTTGCTTGAAAACATAGAGGGGTTTCACATTCTATTATGAAAAACTTGGAAATGAATATCTCAAATAACTATTTCAAATTGAAAATTGACTATCGCACTGATAAAATGAAGAAAAAACCAAATTCCAGTGAAAAGAGAAATAAACGTGCCCAAGATCTATTCATTTAAACATGTTGAAAATAACGAGCTGACAGTTGGAAAAGTGTTAATAAACTCGCAGAAAACGAAGAAAAGACGGATACAAATTTCAGAGAACCTATTACATCACTTTAAGACTCTGTCGATTTTCACACAGTTTCGATGGTTGATATTTTCGAATGACAAAGAAACGGGTCTGTTCTAGACACTGAACTTAATAGACAATCATGGGAGACAGTAATGCAAACAAAACCAAAGCAAGGCGCCTAATTAAAAAAAAAAATTAGACCACTATGCATAACAATAATTACAATAGTTTTTGTCCGATATACTTATCAAGCAGTCAGTGAAACAAGTATTTGTTTGAGAAGATTATTCTCCTGCGCGAAAATCCTCAATCAATCAATACCCTTCAAACTGCCCAAAACGGGGACCGATATTTTAGTTTAAAAAAAGCTATAACATGGATTTTTTGCCAGACTCGATAAACTTATTTGATTGACAGATGTAATGACGCCGTTAAGTCTGGTTCAAGACAATAAATTCACGGTTTCTCAGCGAAGTTTTGTTTATCCTGACCGCGTCCTTTTCCAACCTTCCACTAATTTAAACTTATCTTAATTGAATTATTGCATTGTGGTCTAGTAAAAGGTCGGCCTGGTAAAAGATATATACCTCGTCCAGACTGAATGAATTTATAGCTTACTTCATTGAAGTTTGCGCACTTAGCCAAATGTTTAATAAAGTGTAAATAATAATTAAAATTCGTTCGCCAAATAATTGTTTTTCATATTATTTGGAAATTTAGGCAACTTTTTTTCGTCTACATGAACACCTAATTAAAGCAATTATAGAATGTAATAGACAAAAAAGTTTATCGCTACTCCCGCCTAATTCGTTAAACTACCCAACTGGACTAACATCGGCCCAACTGGAGAAAACTTGATCAATAGGTAAAGTTTTTATTCCGCTGGAAATCTATAAAAAAAATCCACTTTCGAAACTAGAAATGGTTCACATTTTTTGCGCCATTTTCACGTTCGTTTTTGAAGAGGGGTATTTACGTCACTTTCGGCAGACGAATTTCAATTGAACTCAAAATGTGCATATATAGCTAAGTAAATTCATAAAAGCATCAATATGTATGAATGCACATCTGTAGTTATTAGAGACTTTTAAGAGTTTTCCTTAAAAAATCAGCAAGACCTATATAGGAGTCTTCACTACGTTCATTTTTCTTAAAGAACAGAACATTCCGGTCTTTTCTGTTATACGGCCCAATTATTTTAGCTGTCAATAGAGCTTCTGTGTTTTCATTCAATCAGATTCGAGGATTATGATAAAATTTTCAAAGTGGCAAAAAACCCGAAAATGCACTCAATTTCAAAGTTGATATTTTCTCTTTACAAGGGTGGCGTGTCACGGAGCCGAACACCCGGATAGCCGAAAAATGAATTCATTCCCGGACAACCAAAAAATAAAATCATTCCCGGATAGCCGAAATCTGTTTTGTGTCCTGATAGCCAAAAACTTCGATTGCTTCAAAGCCTTAAATCGATCGTTGATAATAATTAACTCATATTTGAAAAAATTTCTGCGAAAGGCAAATAAATTTTTCAACAAAATTTAAAAAAAAACTTTTCCAAATTTTTTTTCGCGTTTTGTACTTTTTTCTGCGTGCTCCTCACGTCCTTTTCAAAACACTTATTTACACAGAGACGAAGTTGCACTTCGCATACACAAGCAAAAATATTACCGATAACGCTACTGGCAAAAACTGAATGAGTAAACTTTGAGTCTACAAAATTTCTTAAGTGACGCACGCCAATTAAGAGTCTAAATAATTGCTAAGTGACGCAATTCAATCATGACGCATTAGCAATACCAAACAATTTGAAAAAAAAGAAGAAATTTATCAACTAACATGCCTCAATTTATAGAGTGGACGCATTTTAATTAGTATACAAAAAATTTCATTAAAAACACCCGGCCCTGCCCAGGTTCGAACCCTCTTAATTTGTTGCGAGTCTCCTTCCCTACCTCTACGCTACAGATCCATGATACCTTGAAGCTAAAGTGCTATTTGTAATATTATAGTCCATGTTAAAATCCTGAGCATTGGCTGTACTTAATAGCTGGTTATTGATCAAATTGAAGACTTTCAAAATGAACACTAACATTTGCGACTAAGGTTGAAAAAAGGAGAAATTGTTTACTATCACAAAAGCTTTGCTTGTGTAAATACTGCTGTTTTTTGGTTATTCACAGGATAGCCGAAAAAAATTTAATTCCCGGATACCTGAAAAAAAAATTGTATCAGATATTTGAAAAAAAAAATTTGTTCCCGGGTAGCTGATTTTTTTTGTCCCCGGATAGCCAAAAAATTAACGAAATTTACATGTAAGGATGAGCCTGGTCACCAATTGTGCGGCAGTAAGTGTTCGGTTTAATCCAATAGGCCGGGGTGGGCCTGGTCTCTTTTTACCTGGATCATTGTTCAAGTCATTTGTTTGCTTAATTTTCGGCTATCCGGATCAAAAAAAAAAATCGGCTATCCGGGAATGCGGATTTGTGGGTACATACCGATGCAAGTAACATTAACTAAAGCATTTCGACCAAAAATTCGCTTCATTTCAACTTTAAACTTTTTCTGCTTGCAAGCCACATTAACTAAATACTTTAACTAGACGCGATCAAAAGATCGTAGAAAATGAAGAAGAAAAATTGTACTCAGCTCATTAACACTTAGAACTAATTAACAGCTAATTACATTACCAGTCTTTTATGAAACAGCAGTACCAAAACACAGAGCTTCGATGATCTCAGCAGATCTTATTAGTAAGCAACATGATATGAATTTAGAGTGCAAGACTTTGAACTTGCTTTCTCTTTCAGATGATGATGGTTTGACTAAAATGAACAAAACCAAGGGTTAAGATTTAAAAATTTTCTTATAAAAATTATACATACATCATTGGTGCACTAAAATACGAATAAATTAGCTTTAAAACATTCTTTTCGAAGACTATTTTTTCTCTTCTTTTTAAAGTATTTTATGCACTCTGGACGTTTCGACATTTTTCTGTTATAAACATACATATTTCATCAAAAATCATGTAATTCGAAATTCGGATCAAATTAAAATCCTCCCCCAAAGCAGTTAAAAAGGTCAGAAGTTTCCATCAATAAAAATCAAGAACTTTACGCGAAGCACTGAGCACTTTTAAACAGATTGAAGCTGTGGATTAGAAGATCTTAAATTGGCATATTTGATCTTAAATTGATCCAAAACTGTTGTTGAAAAATAACGAATTTTATGCACATTAAAAAAAAAAGTAAATCATCGGTATTGTTTCGGTGCCTAAACTTTTGTTTAAAGCTAATTTTTGACTCGTGCTCTAAACATCTTCCCTTTTTTTCAAAATACGCATTTTTTCTCTTTTTAATCATTGTTCTGATCATTTAATCATTGGACGTCTTTCGATTCAGCTATTCTAAGATTTATTTAAAGAATGAAAGGTATAACAAAAAAGTTTGTTGGTTTCATTTCAACGAGAGTATTTTTTTTTATTCAGGTCATTTATTACCTCCAAATTTTCGTTCTTTAATTCTTTTTCTTTCATACTCGTTTCTTTTTAACGTGCGCTTAAATAGTAATCTAAGTTTTCGTATTCCATTCAACCAATTAGTTTTCACAACTCAATTTTTTGAATCTGAAACCTGATAATTATTTCATAAGTGATTTTATTTGGTGCACTAACCGTAGCCAATAAACAGTTAGAAACAGTAGTGAAAATTGTCAACTTTTGAGTTCTTTGAATTTCAAAAATTGGTTATGATAAACACCTTTTTGATATAATCATTCTAGTTTGAGAAAAAAATGAGCCAATAGGTTTTTTTATACGGCTGGTAAGTCCAAAATTTCAAAGTTTTTTGGCGTATTTTGCACTTTTGTTATTGAAGAGAGTAATGTGCCTTCCAGTCAGCAAATGTATTTGAATTCATTACTAGACCAAACTGTGTAAGTTATGAATTGTGAGCGGATTCCGCAACAAGCTGAAAACAAATTTGACGAGGAATCCGCAACACGGATAATTTTCTTTGATCTTTTGCTATTTTGGGTTCCGCGATTAAATAGCTAAAACACTGCATCGCTCAAAAAAAAACAGCAAAAAATCAAATTTGAACGAGACTTTTTCCTTAAAAAGTTTTACACTACCTATAAATAAGTGTCTTGAAATTAGGAAAAGAAACTGTGAATGGATTAATTGTTCACCTCCAACTTTTCGTCCTTCTTCAAGTCCTGTACTTTCTTGGTCTTCCTGCTCTTCACCACTGGTCTGTGTCTTCTGGATGGGATCTTCTCCACAGCTGCCAGCTGCACATCTGCCCTCTGCAAGAGAGTCATCAACATGTCATGCACACTCATCAGGGAGTTGATGTTTATGGGCAACACTCCAGCACTGCAACAAACACAAACAGTCAAATCAGAAAACAGGCGTCTTACTTAACGCCTCACTTAAGTGTACTGCTACATTATCATTTAAATGCAGAATGGAAAAAAACGAAGGTAGATGGCAACCAAAACATGCTTGTATTAAACAAAACATTTTTTCGAATTGATAAAAACAAGCTGCATAATCGTGATACTTACTTCTTATTACAACAAAATTAACTTCATTTCGCATTTCATTTTTAATTTTTCTGTTTTCGCGAAACATTCTGAATTTTAGTCACAAAGGGGAACTTATTAGGAAGTTATCGGGTTTCGGATAGATTATCATGATTTCAAATTTGATTACTCGTTGTAACTTATATTTTATATTAATTCTAACTATTTCTAACCATAGTTCGAATGGGTCCTCCTTGTCTTTGGGTTTGGATCCCAGAATCTTCTTGCCCATTGAATACATCAGTAGCATGCACTCCTGGTTTGGACCATCCAGGGGCGAGATGTACCTGGAAAGAGAACGGCCCAACATAATAGAAGATGCAAAGCATGAAAGGATTTCTTTAACAATTTTGAAAAAGTTTTTTTTTCAAAGTAGCGGATATATTTAACTATCTCTCATTGTCCGTAAAAAAGAATATCCACTCCTGTTAAGGATTGACTCAATAGTTAAGCATACGCGAACATTTTAACTGGTATAAGATACAATGCGGGGTTAGTTAAAGATATCCAATTCAGCAAACTGTCACAAAACAGAAGTCAAGAAGGCTGTGGTATTGTATGGGTTCATGTGAACAGCAAGTATAAGCAATGGGTCCAAAAAAATAATCTTCGGGGACCCATATATATTTTATTAATATAACTATCATACTGCACCAAATACTTAACTATATTCACTACTCACCACTACATGCAAGTTGTGAAGTGTTCGATATATTGAGAATGATGAACTATTTCTTCACGAATTACATCAAAGATGAACTTTTAACACAAAAGAATCTTGACCCTCGCTTACCACTGTACAGACAACTCGCCATCTCCGAATGGGATATCTCCCATGAGTCTATCTCTCTCCATCTGTGCTGCAGTCTGAGTCCCTGCAGCAGCCGCAGCCACGCCCCCCGCAGTAGTAGTCAATGAGGAGGAAGAGAGAGTGGAACTCTGAGTGGCCAGTCTCTCTGGAACCATAGCTGGAGCAGGAGACTGCTGGACAGTGGTGGCCACAGACGAAGAGGACACACCTGAGAGTGCAATAGCAACACAATAGGGGTTGTTCAGGAGCAAATGTAGGCGGGGGGGAAGCTTCCCCTCCCCAAGGATTCGACCCCGCGCCGACACAAAGGGTCTCCCCTTTGTACTAATTTGAGATATCCATTTTTGGCTGAAGGAACTTGATATTTTTCTAAAGGCGCCTTTGGCACCAATATATACTAATTTTGAGGGGCAAGCGGGAGCAGAAAAAACGCAATTTTATTATAATAATTTTCCAAAAAGTGACTAATAACGCCTTTTTTGGCCTGTTTTTTCAAAATTTTGCCTGCGGCGCAGAAAACTTTGCCAAAACAGGGTCTTTTCCTACATTGTGAGGGCTCGGAACCTCAATTTGGTCTACCTAAGAAAAGGTAGACAAAATTTTCGAAAACCTTTTGAAAATCCTAGATTCCCCTCGAGAAAATCCTAGATCCGCCCCTGGGTTTGTTCAAAACTATCAAAGATTTTGCAGCCTCTAGTTACTTCTGACTAAAACCATGTCATAAGGAGCATAAAGTTGCTTTTAACTGCAAAATCGGCTTAAAATATTGATAATCTAATTATGAATGGAAACTTTTGCTTTGGGAGTGTTTTTTTCCTCTTACATTTCTAGTGTATTGTTGATGAAATACAACTTTTGTTGGGTTCCTTAAAGCCTTCTCTTAGTTTGGGGTCGATATCTTAAGAAGTTAAGTTACGAAGAATAAGATTTGCGTAGCGGAGATTCGACAAATAAGTATCGCAGATTAGCCATTTATTTTGAAATGCAAAACATGAAGCATTCCACGCACCCGCTTTGTCTGTTGACGTCGCTGGATTCTTGGAACTCGAGTCGGCCTTGTCCTCATTTGCAATAACTCGGTGCAATTGGTCGTCATAGTTGTGATTGTAGATGCTCAAAGTTATTTCTAAAAAACGCGACTGCAGTATTTATCAATATAACTTTTGTACCCTAATTAAGTTTTGATGAGGTGTCATCAGTCAGTAATTATTTATCTAATAAGTAGTTTATACCACTTCATAAATAGTATTGGGAACCATGAATCTTATAAATCTTTTAACTTTGATTGTGATAATTGCGGGAAAGTTTTTGGTATTCAACTTCTTCTCACAATTTTTTTTTGAAGAAGTTCATATTGAAAATAATTTTTTAAAATCTGAATAAGCCAAAAAACTAATGGGAACAAGGACAGCCGGTTACTGTGCAAGTAGCACAGAATGTTCCGACCATGTTCTTAGAAAACTGCGGTTTAGTAATTTTTTTTTTCAAATTAGTGTAGTTTTTCTGCTTGGTCAGATAAAAGGATCTGATGTACAAATATAATTTAGGCATAATAGACAGTCATAGTAATATAGGCAAATATGACATTTTTTTAAAAAAAATTGTAGAAAACTTTTGAATTTTTTGAAGTTTTTAATTCCCTAAATGAAGCTTAAAAAAACTTCAAAAACTAGTTCTACTTGCTTAAAATTAAGTTTTAAGGTCTGAAATTAGGCATAATTCAGCTGTTTTAAGCCTGCTTGCTTGGTTTTTCAAAAAATTTCAAACTGGTTTTTCTCGACACTGGGAAATTTTTTCGAATATTTTTAATGTGCTTCTAATCATGACTAAATGGGCTTTAATATGATATATCACTCAATTCAGTCCGATTATTATTTGTGGTACCTGAGTTTGCGTGGAAATTAAAAAGAAAAAACTAAAACACACCCAAATACAAAGTTCCTCCCCATTTTTCAAACGGTCGGAACAACAATGCGAAACCATATACTTACAAAGAGTAATCATTTAAAAGTACTCATTTTGATTTAAAAAAAAACACGATTGTAAGACATGAATCAAAAGTAAATCTAAATTGTACCAGTTTTTGGCGGGGGCGTCAAGTAGTCTGGGGGACAAGGAGCCACACATGTATTGGCATAAGTAGGCAGATTAGTCTTGAGGTACTCGTGCATGGCAGAGTATCGGAGGTTCATGTTCACTCCGAAGACAGGAGTTCGCAGGAAGGTCTGCTGAAGTCCCACTTCTATCATTGGGTGCTCGTAGTAGGCGAAGGTCGCCTCCGATATGTGGCTGGAAGTCTCCTGAAAACCAAATCAGAAAATTTTAAAAGAAAATTTTAAAAGACTGCTTTTTAACACGTTCGTAATCCAATGTTTCATTGAAACAAAAAAAGATGATAAAAACAGCTTAAGAGTTGCGAGGAGATTTCCTTTAAAAGCTGCAGAAGTTCGAAACATTTCAAAAAACATCAGAATTTCACAAAGTCTTATTATGTAATTTTATTCAGACTAAATTAACGAGCAAAACCATCATTTAACCATTCTTAAAAAATCTTGTAGCATTTCTATAACTTGTCGTTTGTAATTAAAAACCTCTATACAATAGTATTTAAATTTGGCTTCTTCGCCTGTGGTTCGATGGTGCCTGGCCTCACGAATGTCAGCATGCCCCCCAGTCTCTCAAGCAGTGCAGAGTAGCCCAACACGTGCACCCAGCTGATGTGGCTCTCCACTGTGGGAGGGGGGTCCGGGAACTGCTCCCCGTAGATCAGCTCCATACTCGTCATGTCCCCACGTGACTTGCCCGCAACTAGAAAATTCATACCAAGGTTCAAAACGTCGAACGAAAATTATAAACAAAAATATTCATTTTCAAGCAAAATAACAACTGCAAATATCATTTTAAGATTCAAAAGTTCGGAAACCAAACAATTTATTGAGCTTTGGCAGAAAAACAACGAAAAATTTGACTGCTTCGCAAAAAAGGCTTACATTGATTGATTATATCTATTTTATCTACATTCTTAAATCATTCTTAAGGGCGCCTAAAATTTCCTCGACTAAACAGTGTTTCCTAAATTGATCAAAGCGTTTGAACAAACGTTTCACATCCACGTCTCTGTATCCGTGTGACTTGGCCAGATCGTCCAGACAGAACGAGGGCAATTTCCCTCTCTTGTCATCTTTCAGGGGATTGTTCAGCACCTGCAGAAAAAAAAACACACAATAAACCTACTTAATTTTTTTTCAGATTGTAAAATGCACAAAAATGATTTTAAAGATGAAAAATTGCTCAAAATCGGCAAATGCGTACAAAAATTTAACTTGCCAGTGGTGGAAAAAAAAAAAACGTTTTTCTGTCAAGATTTCGAAAATAACTACAAGAAAAAGTGGAAACAGATGTAGAAGGGGTGGCTTATAATCCATTGCTAATATTGTTACCTCCTCTTCGGCCGGAAGCATGAAGAGATTCTGTTGTGCCAGTGCGACTAGTGCAGCCCCCTTCACTGCTCCCCAGGCGGCCTTCCGCTCCACCTCCACCTCCCTCTGAGCCTCCCTCTCCTCCTTCTCTCTCTTCAAATCGGCCGCCGTCTTCTTCGGCTGCTTCTTCGACTAAACATTTAACCAATTTTTAAGAAAAAAAATCATTTTGGAGATTAAATAAAGCCGCCAAAGCCACAAATCGACTGTAAATCTCGATGATGAAATCTTGGAATTTTCATATCAAATGACTTATAATTTGAAGCAAAAATTGCAACTATTTGAAATGATGATGCACAAAAATGAGCCTTAATAGTCCTAATGAATATTGCCTCTTGGAATCAGGGGCGGATCTAGGATTTTCTCGAGGGGGAAGGCGGATTTTCCCGCAGGCTAAATTTTAAAAAAAGCTGGCCAAAAAAAAGCGTTTTTAGACACTTTTTGGAAAATGTATACCAAAAAATCGCGGTTTTTCGGCGCGCACTCCCCCATAAAAATTAGTATATATTGGCACCCAAAGCGCCTTTTAGAAAAATTTTAGGGTCCGTCAGCCAAAAATGGGCATGTCAAAATAGTAGAAAGGGGGACCCTTTGGGTCGGTAGGGGGTCGAATCCTTGAGGGAGGGCGTACGCCCCCCCCCCCCCCAAAAAAAAAATCCACCCCTGCTTGGAATGCTACATTTTTAAAATCAACTTTTATGGTCAAAAAACTAATTGAAATTTGAGATGACATTTTTCAGATGAAGTTGGTCTTCTCATTGAAAATGAACTTAAAAAAAGTCGAGTCACCGCAACAAAGCGACATGAAAAATAAGGCAAAATTGTACATTGTAAAAGGGTTTCACTTAAAGTACAAAAGTTGACATTTATCTTACATAATGAGGCACAAAAAATGAATTAGTTCAGATTAAAGGCCGCATATCATAAAGGATGAATAAGTACTCTGGGTGTCGCGTCGCTTTTCGTGGAGACATTTGAATCAACGCGCAGCAGCGGCTGAAATTAATCAATTGATTAGCTAAATTAAGACGAAGTGTTTCGCAGAAAAACGTAGCGTCTAAGAATTTTTCACAAGAAAAACTAGGAATAAATACACCTACTTGCGTTATTGTACGGCTACATAAAATGTATCGATACAAGAACAATCTACACAAAGTTACCTCGGGTGTCTGAATCAAGTTTTCCTGTAAAACAATCAATCATCGAATAAAAGGTCATAACTTGAGAAATATTATAGAGAATTACACGCGATATCAAAAAAAGCTGTTTACGAGACATTATCGATAAGTGGTGATTTTTTCACCACGCACTACAGAATTTTATATACTCTGAATAATTTGATACATAATAGAGCCAAATTTGACAGATATAATAATTATTAAACCTTGATAAAACAGGTATCCATCGAAATAATTAATTGGTCATGACTAATAGCTAAGATGTAGTTCCCCCACCTTGGTGGCCTTTTTGGAGGGCGGGGAGGGGTCTTTCTTGCTCTCCCGCTCCCTCTTCTCCACCGTGGTCTCTCTGTAGAGGGGGTTGTCGGGTGTCTTCGCTTCTGTTCCAGGCGGCAGGGGCACTCCTGGGGTTCCAATCGCACCCATGAAGGTCATCGCCATCTCCAGATAAGCCTGGCGCATCAGTCTGCAAACGTTCAAAAAATTCATATTATAGAAAACTATTAATTATAATAGAAAAACTATGATTATGAAAAAAACTGTGCCACAAAAAAATATATTTTAGAGTAAAAAATGTTTATTTTTATTGATTCTTTTTGGAGTAAAAAGTTAGGAAACCGGATGAACTTTGTAAATTTTATAGTACAACCGGTTCAATCGTGAAATTGGGATACGATTCTAATACAAAATGCTTAAAAAAAAACAAGCAAACTTTCATTTCAACGGCACTTTAATTGAAAACAGGAAGTTATAAACTCAGCAACCGATTAATTTTATATAACCCACATATAAAATCTTTTTTAATGCGATCACAGATTAAATCAAAGATTAATAATGATATAAGCAAAGGTGATGTTGCTTCAATGGTTCTGATTTCATTGCACAGAAATCAAGTTGAAAACTCCTAAGACTTCGCGAAAAGATGCATGTTGAATGTTATGATTTTTTGGGTGTAGCAATTGCGCCTGACCCTAAGTCGTGATTGAATTCTTGAGAGACTAGAATGGCCTCTTTGAGAGGGATGACCACACTCCTCGGATCCACCTGGCCCATCACGAACAGCTGTCTCAGAGCCCTCCCCTTCTGGAAAAACGAACAGATATTGGAATGAATCATAGCAAAAAATGAATTTTGGGTGTAGAAATTTCACTGGATTCTTAATTTATCGGTTGCCACCGGATTCTTGGTAGTAATAGACAACACGATGTATCTAAGTATGTAACACTACGCGCCGCTTACGCTTCCGCAATGTAAAAATGATCGTTCCAACCACGTGGTAAAAAAAGATGATAAACAATGCGACTTTTGTTAACGGCTTTATAAAAAAGATCTTTTCATTTTGAGCCCCTTGACAAAAAATATTCGATTAGTTGTAATAGTTTTCGAAAAGTTTGGAACGATTAGTGATTTGTAAAACATTTGGAACAATTATTGATCATGGCATTAATGTTACATTGAATGATGAGCAAGATTGAACTAAGGCGAATTGATCTAAAAATTTACCTGGAACAGGATCTCCGCCTCTAGACTGGGTTGTTGCTGACTCATAGCCCGCGAGATGGACAGGGCAGTGGAGAATAGACGAAGTGAATGAGTCAGAGTCGAAATCTTCTTCTCGGATTCCCTACAAACAAGTTTTTATAATACAAAAGATTGTCAGTTAGGTCTTGATACCTATTTGATCTTCACACTTTACCTTATAAAACCACTTATAAACCACTTTACATCATGAAAATGATGATCGTGTGAGGTGGGGCAAACGAAAAAAGAGCCAAGAAACAAACGCGTAGATGATGAAGTACTTATAATAAAACTAACAACTCTCAGGAAAAAAAGTATTTTTTCACAAAAAACCTGATTGGTGCGAGACAATAGGCAGAAAAGTGTTGCATAGCAATCGAATCTTCAATGTGTTTTAAGTGCAATGGAATGATGGGGGGTCCCTGATGTGCGAATTTTTTGGCAACCAATCAGAACTAATAAACCATAAGTTCGATGGACAGCTTAAAGGGTATTGATTAGGTGTCCTTCGCCTGTGAGAAAAGCAACACGTTGGAATACCTTGCGGAGTCGTAGTTGACAGACATTCTGCAGAGACAGTGGCCTAGTCTGAGTTTGATATGAGCCAGCAGTGGCAGATAAGTGGTCGAGAAGAGGTTCTTGATAGGGGCCTGAAACAGTTATGATTATTGCTCTGACACTACTGATTAACAATTTAGCTATCTGACGGCCACAACATTGGTCCATCAGCAGTTGCTTGCAATTTTTTGACAAGCATTTGGTAAATTTTGCCTAGTTTTATAGATCATGATTTAGAAAAATAAATCAAGTTTCAGAAGAAAAATAGCTGAAAATTTTCATTCAGTAATTTAGAGTCATTACATTTAGAAGTTTATCAGTTAAAACACAGACCAAAGCAGAGCTTCGTAACACTTACAAAGAGCACAGAAACATGTACCCAACAGACAATGGAAAAGTGTCATTGAACGCAAGAAAACTCAAACAAAATGACTTGGTTTTTGAAGAAAACAAGACTGCTCGTATCAGGGCGAAGCCCTGAATGTTCCGACTGCCTTTTAAAGTTTATGGAGCATTAATAACATAAAAAAAATTGAATGTAATAAAACAAAATGAATTTTAAACGTAATTTTAAACGTAAAATAATAAAACGTAATTTTTTTTTCTGAAAATTGAAATTTTTTCTGAAAATCATCCCCCCGCACCTCATATAAAGTACAAAAGAATAGATTTTGCTGCTAGTAACAATCAATTATGGCAAATAAGTTTAATTCAACCAATTTGGAATGATTTCTAGAACGGATTAAATATTCGATTACGCGTTAAAAGCGCGGAATATATCGCGCGTTAATTGTCCCACATGCCAATCTTTAAACCACCATAACTTTATGAAAAATGATCACAGGTGAAATATCTTTTCAAATTTAAGCTCAGGACAATACCTTTTGAACGATTAAAAAAAATTCCGTCAAAAATGGCTAGTTAAAAAGTCGAAATTTGTCTGAAGAAAAAAAAACCCACCCGAGCACAAATATTCCGTCACTTTCGTATCGAAAGTCGGAACAAAAAAATGTTCAAAATTCAGAGAAAAATTATATGGTCTTAAAGCTCCATAAATTTCCAGAAAAAATTTTGTTGACGGCGGATTACAATAAAATTATCCAAATTTGGGAAAATAGATCAAAAAGGACTTTTTCCGCTGGAAAATTTAATAATGAAAATCCACTTTTTGATAATAGATTTTGCGTCAATTCAGCATTGGTAACTGAAGAGCGTATTTGCTTTCCTTTTAGCCAAGAAACATGAATTGAATTCAAAAATAACTCGAAAGTCAAACCGCAAAAGACTAAATTTGGTTTGAACAAACTTTAACAAAAACCTGAAAAAAAACCAACACGTTTTATAAAAGTTACTTCACTACGTTCATTGAGACTTTATAAACTGAAAATCTCTGAGCTTCAAAGATCCAAGATTAACAAGGAAAATAACAGTTAACTCAGAAAACTCAACGCCACTATTGTGAAAGAGGGATCAAATATTCTATAGATAAAAACGTAGTAGGTTAACCGGTAGCAGGATAATTTACCCTCTGCCATTTTACCCCATACCATTTCATCGTCGATAACAATTTAACGTAGGCCAAATTACCCATGACAAATTACTCCACAAATAAATTTTATCCTTTATCACACTAGGTGTTAGGGACATGCATGAAAGTGTTAGTTCATTTGAGTTTTACGATGTAGACTCAAATTTTGTCGACCGAAAAAGTAGCTTTTAACACAATTAGCAGGTTTTAACCCCCAACAACAGTAATTAAAATAGAAATGAACACCAGACTCGCATCAATTTATTTATAGCAAAGTATACACTATAAGCCAAATGACACGGGGATGCATAACACAACAAAATCGCAAAACGCTTATCATGGAAGAAAATGAGTTCACGAAAAAGCAAGAAACCAAGAATGGCGAAACGATATAATCAGGTTATTTTTATGGTTCGTTCATGCTTTGAACTCATTCGGTTTTTCTCATTTGATCTGTTCGGATATATTCGGTTTCGGATTCTTCAAAGAAATGGGATAAGTTCTCATGCTTTAATTATAGATTATTGGGTAAATTGGTTTGCGGTAAAGTGAAACATAGTGTAAGATAGTATAGGTTGAAATAGAGTTAAGCGTCATGAAACGAATTAGTCAAGTAAAATGCAAAAAAAAAGATAATCAGCCAAAAAATGCGAAATTCTTAAGAACTAAGACTGCTAGCGATTGAAAGATCTGAGGAAAGAATTAGCGATGTTGAAGCCTACCATTGCGCATCTTGAAAGTAAAACTGACTGTTCGGCGCAAAATTACAAACTTTGCCTAATTTGTTTCAATTAGCAACAAAATTACCATTTAAAAACTAAAGTTTAATATTTAAGAGAACGTACAATTTTAGAAAAATTAGGTTTCATTAGCCAGCCTTTATGACACATCATTGTTTCAACCACTTTACGAAGTGAGAAGAAACTATGGAGTAGGGTGTTGCTTTTCCAGCCGATTTTGACTATTCTAAAGAAAACTTATTCGGGGATCATATTAAAACATTTTCAGCCGTTTTTCAAATTCTTACAAACTGCCTAGACTTTGTCAAGAAAAACTTTTAACGTTTTTTTTCAGGCTATGGATTTTTCAGACCGAAAATAATAAGCTAAATTTCCCATCCCATTGTTGTTGTTTTTGTTCATAGTTTCATATACAATTAACTGGTCCCCATAACCACTTCAATCTTCTCTCAGTAACTGAAAGAAACAACCAAAATTCTAAAGTGAAAAAAAAAATCAGAACAAAAAGTTCTCTTTTATATTTTATATCTTTTATATTTATATTCTCATGTCTCTTTGGTATATTTTATTTTTTTTATTCTCATAGACGCATTCGAAATGCTTTGTTTGCAAACTGTACACCACTCGCCTGTATAGTGGAGTATGACTCATCCTCTCTCCTCTTCACCATCACCTCCCCGTACTTGAAGCCAAGCTCCACCGCAAACTGCAGGGCCTCCGCATAGGTGTTGTAGATCTTCTGCGCCATCCTCTCGTTCTCCAGTGAGTCATCTACGCAACAAAGCATACAAATAATTCAATATAGGCGAAACTTGTATTTCCCTTTAGAATCCACATCATTAAGGCTAAACATAAAAATCTTTTTGTTGTTGAGAAAGATGTCAAGAATAATGTTTTATAAATAAAAATCTGCACCTCATGAAGGTCGTGAAAATTTGCAGACAATTAAAATAAGGAAAAAATGGGAAACAACTGCATAAGCAACCATTACTAAAATTCATATGCACAGATTTTCTTTTCCTAGTTGATAAAAATATCATAATTAATGATTCCGAGTTAAATCTAATGTTTTCTCGGGATTCGTCATCGATACGAGTCAGAAAAGGAATTTAAAAAGGTAAATTTCGGTTCAGTAACCTGTCTTCTGGAACCAGTCGAGTGCCTGCAAGTCTCCATGGAGTACTTTGGCACAGATGAAGATGCGATATTCGAACACTGAGGAGACACGTTGGCCAAATGCACTGATGCAGTCCTGCAAAAAAAAATGCTTAAGAAGATCAATTCTCTCGCTTACTAAATCCTCTAGGAAAAAATCCCCATGTATAAAATCCAACCAGATACAATCGCCGGAGTTAATATTTAATCAATTAACCGAGAACTAAGGAAAATTAAGTTCCAAATTAACTTTTTGAAATAATTTTTTCTTATTTGAAAGGATTTTAAGTCTTGCGAAACAATAAAAAATTCAGACGTTGTTTCAAAAAAATATTTATGTAAAAACATATCGCCAAAATTGGCTGGATTTCATAGGAAGAGAAAAAACTCCCAAAACATATAAAGAAAGTGTTTGTCGTCTTCACTTTAAGCTTTTTTGAAATAATGCAACAACTCTTTTCAACTTGTTGTCTATTCTAATGTGTACTCACCAATAGGTTCTCCATGATGTTGGGAATGGGTTTTCCTTCTTTCAGATCTAATAGTGTGGCCAAGTAGAGATACTGAGCAGTGAGACTGTTGTCCTCATATTTCTCCGCCTCCATCACTCCCTCCGCACAGTGCATCCGACACCCGCCCAGCTCATCTATCCACACTTCGCCTACAAACGCACAAAAATACAAACTACAGGATCAGTGGCAAATTGGTAGCCAAAAGTTGGCATCAAAAATAAGTGGTTCCAGGCCCACCCAATTCATTTATCCACACTTCGCCTACAAATATACACACACACAAAAAAAACAAATTAGGGGAGCAGTGGCAAAATGGTATTATTTCCGACTGTCAGTCAAACGGTCGGAGGTTCGAGGCCCACACAACTCATGTGGACAATTTTAACCACTTAATTTTTGATAAAAAAAAGTCCCAATCTGAATTCTTTGGTCTGAGATTTAAAAAGATGAGAAAAAAGAGATCATATCACGTTAAAGTTATGGGAATTTTGATAATTGTTAATGATTGACACTTTTTCAAAGTTATCCCATTAAGAGAAAAATAGATCAAGAACTTCGTAATCTTTACACTTTTGCTCTTCGATAGGGGAGATTGCCTTCATTTCAACAAAAGAAAAATGAACTCAATGCAAAAACAAATCAAAACTCAAACAGCTAAAAGTCAAATTTGGACAAATTTTTTTTCCTGAAAAAAAAACAACAACAAAAAAACCATCGCGACCTATATAAGTGACAACAACTTCTGTTTTTTACACTTAAGGAGTTTCTTACTTAATGAAACAAGAGAGCAATTGCCTTTTAAACAATTAAAAGGAAAAAATAATCGAATTTCTCACTTTAAATTTATAGTACTTTTTGAACCAATTGAAAAAATAGCAGAGCAGACCTTCAAACTCAGATTTATTCAAGGTTGTTCTGACAATTTTACGGGCACTTTAGCGTCTCTTTTCTCTAGATTATCGTAATATGCTGGCCTTTTTTCGGCTAAACGATACCTACTAAAAATAAGTTACAAGATGTGTCGACGTACCTCCAATAGCACCCATCTCCCTCACTTCCTCCAACAGAGCAGAGGTCAACTCCAGCCGGATATTCATCCACAGCTTCATGTCCAGTCTCACTCTAGAGTCTACATCCCAGAAGTTGTCCGTGTTGTACTTGTGGTCACTAAACAATCACATACTTAGACATGCGAACAGTCAAAAATTCCTTTCATTATTTTTTCTTCAAAATTTCGCCCCAAACAACTATATTCAAAATAATGTTTTTGGCTAAGGCTTCCCATTTTTACGGTTTCCAAGTTTTCAAAAATGAGTTTGAATAACTTTCACAATCTGAGTCCATTCATGCAAAAACCGTGTTTCAGCCAGTACAGTACCAACAGTTGCACCTAAAGATGCACTATTTTCCTAACACAAAGAATAGAATACCCATTTCATTGAGTTTCGTCAGATTATTGTACCATATCTTAAGTAGAATAGTTGGATGCCCGAAAAAAAAAACGATACATCAAAAAACACCCTCTTCGGTGAAGTTCAGAAAACGCATGGTCGTTTGTTCAATAGTAATTTTAGTCATATAAAAAAATTATGGAACATGCAAACAGTCTTTTTCATATTTTTCATATATGTTGCTTTCAACATGCACCAATTGTATCATAAGTTATCAGTTCTTTTCCTTCACCTGTGGTTGAAGAGAGGGTGTTTCTGGAGTGCGTTGAGTGCCCGCATGAGGTGCAGTGCCTGTTCTGTCCTCTGCTGTCTCACTCCGTAGATCCTTCCCAGTCCAATCAGAGACTGGATGAAGAAGTCCAGCTCAGAAGGGGACAAGTCCGATACTGAAGCACGGTCAAAATTCAAAAAGACTAAAACTATAATCTAGAATGCTTGCAGTCGTCTTTGAAGTGATAAAGAAAAAATAATTAACAAACCACCGTCGTTAAAAAACTCAAACAAGACTGCTCGTATCAGGGCGAAGCCCTGAATGTTCCGACTGCCTTTTAAGGTTTATGGAGCCGTAACAACATAAAAAAATCAATGAAATAAAACAAAAAGAAATTTTTTTTTAATTTGAAATTTTTAATGACAAATCATCCCCCCACACGCCATATAAAATACAAAAGGATAGATTTCGCTCCTGTAACAAATCAATTATGGCAAATCAGCTTCTTTCAACCAATTTGGAACGATTTCTAAGACGGATTAAATCTCCGCTTACGCATTAATAGCGCGAAATATATCGCGCGTTAATTGTCCCAAATTGGCCAAAATGGCAATATTTAAACCCCCGTAACTTTACGAAAAATGATCACAGGTGAAATATCTTTTCAAGTTTGAGCTCAGGACAACAATACCTTTCGAATGATATAAAATAATTCCGTCAAAAATGGCTAGTTAAAAAGTCGAAATTTGTCTGAAGAAAAAAAACCCACCCCGAGCACAAATATTCCGTTACTTTCGTATCGAAAGTCGGAACAATAAAACAAAAAACCGATTTGTTTTCTGCGTTTGATATTTTGGAAGCAATGAAACGCAACCTAACCTTTCACGAGCAACACGAGCTTTCACGAGCAACACGAGCAAGAAAAAAGCAAAAAGTAGCTCTAAACCTAGCTCACAGACAGTTGGAAAAGAATAAAGGAACGCAAGTAAACAGAAAAAAACTTTCGAACTTCCAAGAAAAACAGATGGCCTTAAAGGTCTTTGAATTTCGGAAACAAAATGTGATTGACAATTTTTCGATAAACTTAACCCAATTGGACAGAACTGGATCAACAATTTTGTTGTTTATTTCGCTGGGAAATCTAATAATTAAAATCCATGTTCAAAATGAAAATTCGATTACGTTTTTCGTGACCTTTACACTTTGGCTGTTCGATAGTGTAGTTTGCTTTCCTTTTAACAAAGGAAATGAGTGTAACTTAACAAGAAATCAAAAATCAATCCGCAAAAAAATAAATTTGAGACTAAAAAAAATTTAAGATTTTCTTGAAAAAAAAAAACTAGAAAAAGTATCAGACCTATATAAGAGTCTGAAACATGATCATCGACTCTTAAAAAAGCGCGAACGTGAAGTAATATAAGAAAAAGCGAAAGAAGCATGGAACAAATCAAATTTTGCTATGCGTCAGCACCAAACCACCGATCAACAGATTCTGAGTCTCACATCCACGCATCTGCGCCATTGTCGCTTGCAAATATTAGCCAATAATCAAGACGATTGGACATGTGCTGTCAATGCTATGCGGCAAAGCGCCATCAAATGAGCAATTTTATTTGTTATGCTCACTTTTATGAGCTGAGTTAGAAAAAGAGAATGTTCGTAATATAACACTGCACTAGCTAGCTCTTGCGTGTAATAAGTGCTACAATTAATTCACTGCTGGGATTTTATGCTTGCAGACATTCAGTGGGATTTCCTGCTATTTATTAGATAACGAAACTCCAATTGTGTAACCTTTTTTTAGAAGTTACGCATTTTGAGTTTAAGGAAAAGCTTAGATTGAGTTTATTTTTGTCCATGAATATAAAACAAGACTGATATCGTACCAGGACAAAACCCTGAATGTTCCGAATTAACTGGCTTCCCACTAGTCTCGAGTAGTTTTTCGTAAATAAATTATAAATTTTGGACTACCAATATCGAACATTAGGTGCTGAAATTTGAGTCGTATACAGAATTAATATTTAGACCAAAATTTTTGTCACATTACGGAGTATATGTGATCGTGATGATTTTTTTCTCCAACTTTTGACAAAACTTTTTCAATCATTCAAAAAATAAACGCGGTACTGGTTTCTGGTTGGTCAATATTTCAATCGCAATTAGTTTATCTTTTAAAAAAGTTTAAGTATCAAATTAGTTTCAACCAACTACCCAAATTACCTGATAGGCGGTTGCACCCTCCCCCGCCTAAGGCATGATAAGAATATCAGCGTAACTGTGTGGCCAGTACGTGGTAGGGGTGGTCAGCCCTTTAACTGATATCCTTTTTGACCGCCTGTAAATTCCCAATTTTGGGTCTGCTTTCGTGTAAATTGGTTAACTTTTAAGTATTGTGCAGTTTTTTGTAGAGTTCGATTTTTGCTTAACTATTATTCCAAAATTGGAAACATAATGAGTTGTATAAAGTTTTATTATGCTTAGGCATTTTTGGTTCTGTTAATTTTAATTGTTTTATGTGCATTTGAAAGGAATTACTTATAAGTCGTCTAACGAAAGCTTTGATGTTTTGCCGCATGTGAAAAGTTTTTGCGCGCACGTTTTAAAACTTTAAAATTGTCTGAATAGTCTTTGGCCGAATTGTCTCACTCATTTTGACTGAATTGTCTTAATTTGAAATTGGCTGAATTGTCTGTGGCCGAATTGTCTGAACGCGGAAACTTTACTTTAAGCAAAATATATTACTTTGTACTTTACATAAGGGGGATGAACTTTACGTGTGGGGGATGGTTTTCAAGAAAATCTACAAATTTTTTTTTAAACTTCATCAATTATTTTTAATTTAAAGTACTCTATAAAAACTGAAATGCGGTCGGAGCGCACACTAAACGTTGCTCCAAAAAACGTTAAAATGAAACTGCTGTAATAATAATCTACAGTTTCCTGTTATAAAACTTGCAAAAACAGCATAGTTTCTTTTTGGCTTAAAAAACGCCTTTTTGGCCAGTTTTTTCAAAAACTTGCCTACGGCGCAGAAAATTTGGTCAAAATGGGTGTTTATAGTGATTTGGTAGAGTTCGGAAAAACAATTTGGTCGACCTAAAAAAACTATAAGAAAAGGTCGACAAATCTTCGATTTTTTTTTGAAAATGCGCCCCCCCCTCGAGAAAATCCTAGATCATCCACTTATTTTCTCCATATTTTTCATTTGCCTCAAAAATTAAAATAGCTTAAGCCAAGCCTTGCCGCCACTTATTCACAAAATCATTAAACATAGGCAACTGAAAGTTGGAAAAGTAATGAGAAGAACGAAACGGAAAAAAATTACTTGTTTTTTTAAAAAAACTTCAACTTCCAAATTTTCAAGAAAAAATATATGCCTTCAAATCTCTATGAATTTCACGAAAAAAAAATATGTATGACCTTTTTTTGATAAAATTCCTCAAAAACAAAAAAACACCAAAAAAAACACTACGTTCATTACTCTTAAGCCTTAATTAAAGGTTCCAGAATAATATTACTGATATATGAAAGGTTTGAAAGGAACGATTTAAAAGTAAATTAACCTGGAGTGGCACTGAGTGTAGTGCATATGGCATTGAGATCCTGGTAGGCTGCATCTAGTAGCAGACCGGCCACTAGGCCGAAAGTAGGCTGCGAGTTGGCACTGGTCAACACTCGAGTTACTCCTGACACTTCGGCCTCAGCGTCGCTATTAGCATCGTCCTCTTCTGCAGAAACATCATGTTTAATTTTTCCAAAAAAATGAAGAAACCAATAATGTGCAGTTGAAGACAGAAAAAACAGCAAGACAACAATTGACAGTAGTGCAGTTTCATGTGAAGTGTAGATAGAAAAGAGTATTTTTAAAATAAGAACAAAAAAATTTCGGTTACCCGTCACCATAGATTTAATGAAAAACAAAAAAAAACATTCTGCAATTTATGTGCAAGAAAATGGATGTTATCAGCAATGTGTTCCAACAAGTTTTAACTTTCCCACTCAGATGATAATTTTTGCTCCAAATAAAAAAGTCAGAGTATTTGTGTCTTGTTTTGAAGCCTTGCCAATAAATGTTAGTATATTGAGACAATAGATTAATTTGATATCTACTTACTAAATTTGTCATTGTCCACCGAATCTATTAAACGAAAAGTGCAAGCGCATTAAATCGAGCTAGATAAGAAATCGACGACAAACTATAAGAAATACACCAAGGAAGACCTACTCTACACACCTCAGATTAGACAAAAAATCAAATTATAAACAAAAAATTAAGAACTTCATTGATATGCAAAATAAATTGACAAAACAAAAATGTAAAATTCAAAAATACTTTCAAGCATCTTTGACAAACTTAAAACTCGACATGCAAATTTCTGTTACCTGCTTCGATTGAGCGAATCAAGTTATCTATTAAAAATAAAAACTTTTTAAGAAACATTTCGCAGTTACGGAGTCAAAATAAGTTAAAATATAAACAATTTGGTACAAAATGTGATCCAAATATAACAGAAACGACCAAAAAAAATTTCTCGAACTTGATTGTAAGTTATCTTTTGTGCCAATTTTCAGACACAGTATAGCAATTGCCTACAAATACACATTTAGTTATCGTGTTGCTAAGCTAACATGATCTTTTCAATTTGAAACTAAATTAACGTGACCAGTTACCGACGACAATTGAAGGCTTTTCCGGGTTAGTTGTCCCTGTTCAAATATGAAAAAACATATATCGAAACATATAAGTGCTGAAGAGAAGCATTAACTATAACCTATAAGAAATTGTCGGCTACTGAAACGTTTTTTTTTTGAAAAAATCTTCTTCTGATAGATAATCTTTATCAAGAGCTAATGGACAGGTTTTAGAAACTTTTACTATAAAAGATTATTTGGAATATCTACATCAATTAGCCCGTTGATCGAGTTGTATTTCGGAATTTGAAACTTTACTTACTGCGGGGTGCTAAATGATAGGAAATATCGATGAGTATCTTGATTTTTGGAACGACTTCTATAAAATATTTGAAAATGTAATTTATGTGAAACAGATAATAACGATATTCTCCTGCAAATATGCCTGCTGCATATCATCACTTTTAATTTTTTTTAAATCAGTGCTCGTTTCTGAAACATCCGCCGTTTTACGAAATTTTTTTTCAAAAATTGCATAATTTTGAATCAATTTCGCAAGGTGCGATTCTCTACTAAGAGCTGAAAATCTCAATAGCTTATAAGATTTTTTCCAAGTTCCGCCTTTCTTGGTTAAATAAATGCCTTAAAAACTTAATAATTAATGAAATCTTTAAAAAAATTTATACAGACAAGTTTCGACGCAAAATATTACCTAAGTTAATATCAAACATCAGTTACACGCCCGAAACTGATTTATTATCGAAAAAAAAACACTGGATATTAATCTCGATCATAAATTTGTCATAGCGAATAGTAAGTGTAATGACGTCATCGTACCGAGTAGCTGCTCGACTGTTCGGCCCCCCACTCTCCTCACTTTCTTCTTCGTCTTCTTCTGCTCGTCTGCATCCGCATCCACAAAATCATGCGCACTAAAAAATTAAAATACAATTTGTTTTGATTGTCAATAGTTGGAAAAAATTTGATTTTTTTAATTTCAGACAGTTGAAAAAGTGTCAATAAACTCAGAAAACCCAAAAAAATGACTGAGAAAATTTCCTGAGAACACTTTAGAAATTAAATCAATAGATAATTTTTTCCGCTATAAAATCTTACAATCAAAATCTACCCTCTCGTAAGACTAGTCATGACCGGAGAAAAAAAAGTCTTGCTAGATTTTGGGATAAGAAATTACGGATTTCTTCAACAATTTCCCCATTGCATAAGGGTAATAGCTTCGTGTTTCAGTATTCATGCGGGTTCATATCCGTTATCAGATAACATAGGAGGAAACTGTCATGCTAAATGAATCAAAAATAACAATAAATCAAATTAAAAGACATGAAAACACCAGATATATTTTTCATTTTGTGTAATAAGGAACTTGTGCTCAAGAATAGAAAATGCAATAAAAACAACATAAAATGCATTTTAAAGAGAGGAGGGCAGAAGAAGGCAAACCTTTTCGTGGTCTTTTTGATTTTAGGCTTGATACGTCTGAAATAGATTCGAAACATGAGGCAAACAGCATTATTTAAAGGGGCCAAAATATGACTAATGGTCAAATGGTATTACTGGAGACGCACATAATCGCATAAATACTGACTCTTTTTTAGTCTTTCTATAAAATCTATAAAAAAAACAGAACTTGACATTGAAGTTGACATAAATAATGTAAACTAGGAAAATACTTAAGTTACATATTTGAACAATGGGGGATTCGAACTCCCTCCCACGGAGCACAAATCAGCCAAACAAAATTCACTAACTGGAATTTGGAGGTGTCAGTGGGAATGCATGAGAATGAAGCAGCAATGGCAATTCGGAGGAATGACTGAACTGTGGTCACTTGACAGGTCAATTCGGGGCCATAAGTGGTGGCTAAGTGAGCGCTCAGCCGCTTTTCGGCTAACACCTCCATCATCTGAAACAGCCATCTGATTCAATTTTTTTATGACTCTCCGGGACATTATGCCGAGAAAGTATGCTCGATTTAGACTGTTGAATTCAACGAATCGGTAATAAAAAATGACGTAGGATTGAAGTTGCACATAAAAAATGAAGTATGATTGACTTCCATGGTCAACGGAAACCAGAATTTATCCTGAAGCCTGTCCATTGTTTCTCTAAAGTTTAGCCAAACTGAGAAAAAGCAATACTTGGAATTTTTCGATTAAGAGACATGGTGACTCACCTTCAGGTTGCCCGTTTCGAATATGGGTCTAGTCTGGTTGAACTTGAGATTGGGCAGAGGGGCTTCTAGACTCCTCCAGCCTAGTACACTCTCTATTTGGGGCAGATTGGCCCCAAACAACACCCCCTTCATCATTTCACACGCTGGGGCGTAGAGCTGCAGCATGGTCAACAGCCGGATCTAAACACATCATATTCAAGACATCACTCGATAGATTGAAGACACCACTCGATAAGCAGCTAAAAAGCGGGCTTTTTGGATGTTCTATCAAAATGGGAAATTTTCGGTCCTTTCGAAACGTGTTCTGATTTGCATGAGTCTGATCTCTAACGAAACGAAAATGACAAAAACAAAAGACCCTGGCCTAGAAAAAATCAGGAGTCAATAAAACTTCATCACTACTGCGAAAGTTACAGAAACACCACGATAAATATAGCTCTATCACAGAATCTTCGAGTCAACTTCTTACAGACATATTATCGACCGTAATTTTGATAACTGAGTCGCCCTCTTGAATGTATTGCAATAAAACAATTTTGACCCAGCGATGAAGCCAAGATTCGCATCATTTCCAATCCAGAACATATGCCAGTGGTGTTTGGGCGAAGAAAAGTGACTTGAAAAAAACTGAGGCACTTTTGATACTTGGAGAGTATGTTTTTGCTCTTTCACACATGTTCTTTCACGACAAGGCATGAATGAAAAATGAAATATTGGAACGCATGAATGAAAAAAGAAATCATATGCATAGTTTCCCGCACTTTTCCGGGCTCTTTCACAATTTTCCGGGCTCTTTCACAATTTTATGGCATCTTTCCCTCAGCAAGAGCAAAAACATACTCTTCAACAGTTCGAACATAGTTGAAGTTGGCCTCGGGCAAAAGAGCCGCACTCGGGCACTGTGCCCTCAGGCCAGGCTCTTTTTCCGTCGGGCGTCTTTCAATTATGTTCTAACTACTACGAAGAGTAGCTATTTTAATATTTGAAATTTTTTTCAAGAGTAGGCACAATCCAGCCATTCTCTAACACACCAATGAGTGATAAAAGCACATTTGACAACCAAACCAGATGAAGAAACCAATTGTCAGAAGAAAATAAAAACGAAAAAACTCTGAGCTTGATAAACATTTTGCTACCAGATAAAATCAAGATTTCAGGCTACCTGATTTCACATGATTATGACTAGTGTAAAAGTCAACAACACGGTTCCGTTCATGGCTTTTTTGCGATTGAGAGGAGAAATAAAAGACAAAACAAAAAGTCACAAAGTCGTCCTAAAATTTCACATCACAATTTTTTTCAAAGAAAAAATATCAGCTAAATTTCCTTGGAATTCATTTACCTGTAACACTAGAAAAATACAAATGGAATACTATAAATGTTAGTAAAAATTGTTTATTTTGCCACAAAAATGTGCTGCGGCAACTAAGCTGACAAACATAGCCAACAGAGAGTTGTAAAAGAATAAATGAACGCAATAAAAATAGATAGCCTTAAGGCTCTTTGAATTTCTAGAACAATTTAGACTGACACTTTTTTTGATAAAATTAACCCAATGTGAGAAAACTGGATCATAGGTAAACTTTTGATTTCACTGGGATATGTGATAATTAAAAACCATTGTCGAAATTAGAAAGCGATTTTCGTGACCTTTACACACTTGCTATTAGATGAGGGAGTTTCCTTTTTTTAACGAAGGGAGAGATCTGAATTTAAAAAGAACTCAAAAGTCAAACAGCGACAAAGTAACTTACAACGTGAACAAACTTTAAGATTTTTTTTGGAAAAAAACATCGCGACCTATACAAGAGTCTGAACTACGTTCATCGACAATCAAAAATGAGACTTTTTTAGCCGTCTGTCTCGATTTGCATAAATTAAGTTTGAGGAGAACACGCCAATTAAGACAACTGCCAGGGTTGAGTTCGCAGAAACAAAAATTAAGCAGCAGTATGTAAGCTGGCAATAACTGAGTAGATATAGTTGGGCCTAAAAAATTGTTGTCGTTAAAAAATTTGGGCTATCAAATATTTTGAAACTAATTTCGAAAATCTACGTCCTCCGAAAACTCACACAAGCGTGTAGAAAACATTTCGCAATCAAAAAACTCAATACGAGTTGACTGAGCCAATATCCTAATAGCCGAAGACTTTTCTACCAAAAAAGCAAAACAGCCAACAGACAGTTGGAAAAGAGTCATTGAACGCAAAGAAACAAAAAAATACTGATTTGTTTTTTAAATTTATATTTTAGAATTTCAACGAGTAAAATAATTGGCCTTAAAGCTCTTTAAATTTCCAGTACAACTCATGATTGACACTTTTTTGATGAAACTAAGCGAATTTGAGAAATATGGATCAATAGGTAAATTTATTATTTCGCTGGGAAATGCGATAATTAAAATGCATTTTCGAAATTAGATGTCAATCACGTGTCCTTTACACTTTCGCTGTCCAAAGGAAATGAACTAAACTTCAAAAAATCAAAACTCAAACCGAGTAAACTTGAGCCAGAACAATTTTTAAGAGTTAGTAAATTTACAATCAACATTAAAATAAACTTATAATATAATATTTATTCAACTTACAGACATGCTCAAAATACATTTGTTAATGACGAGATCAGAATTGACTAAATGATTTGAATGATTTTGTAAAAAAAAAATTCAACCTGAAAAAAATTTATGTCCTGATTAATAACACTTGTGAATCGCAAGCGTAAGAACTACAAAACAATATCGATAATAGCTAATGATTTAGATAGATTGTTGAGTTACCTTAGTGAGTCGGGTGAGCACAGTTCGTTTGAGGTCACGACAGGCATGGGCGCAGATGAACTCACACAAGGTCAATGTAGGTAGACTCTGAAGCAATAAAAAAAGTTGTTGATAATTATAACGCTTAGAAAATTATATACATGCAATGCATATAAGCATATACAATTTCAACTTAAGGTCCTTTAAAAGCCAATAAAAACTAAATAATCTATATAGACCTTACCAAGACCATTCATCCACGAGGGAAAAGACCAACATACAAACTGATTAGAAAATTATAAACAAATATTCATTATTCTTCTGAGCTGGCATATTCAGAACATAGCCAACAGACAAGAATGAATGCAAGGGCAATGAAACAACGAAAACTAGACTTGTCTTTTGAAAAAAAAACGTCAATTTTTGAATTTTGAAGAAAAAAATATATGGTGTCAAAGCTCTTCGAACTTCGACAATAATTTCTGATTGACATATGCATAATAATATTAAGTAGATGAAATGTTCATGACCTATACACTTTAGCTGTTCGATAGTGGATTTTGTCTTCCTTTTAACAAAGGAAATGAACTGAACTAGAATAGAATTCAAAAGTCAAACGGCAAAAAAAATCTAATTTGAGCGCGAACAAATTTTAGGACTATTTCCTGAAAAAAAATCATCGCGACCTATATAAGAGTCTTCACGACGTTTATTAACACTGAAAAAAGGCAATAAACTTGCACCGGTATGTGTGACTAATGATAACTAACCGTGAGTCGGAAATTATTCCTGTCCAGCTCATTGACCACATACAACAGACTAGACACCAGTGTCCTTGAGTTGCATCTGAACTGGTCCGAGGTTATGTCCAGACCTGGGAGGAGATCTGTCATGGCCTTGGATCCCACTGCTGTGGTGTAGTCTGGTCCGATGGAGTAGGAGGCGTAGTCTATGTCCGACAAGGGATAGGGAAGACTGGATCGGAACACAGCTGAAATTGATGACAAATTGATGTGAGTTCTTAATTCGATAGCTAAAAATTCCGCAAAAAACAAGTAAAGCTCTCCTTGTGCGATGACGTTATGGTTGTTTTAAGCAAAATCTGTGATAAAAATAAGAATATTATAGAAATCAACAGTTAATGAGGCCCTATTTTTGGTTAACGAGAGCGTAAATTTCGAGACATCAGCAACTTCCCAAAACAATCTTTTGCGCCAAAAATACCCTATAAAATTTCATTTGTATATCCTTTTTTAAAAAGTGTTTTCTAAATATAAATTAAATGAAGTCAGTTGAACTTCCTGAACGAACGAAATAATAAATTCAAAGTATCAAAAAATTAAATAAAATGTATCTAACTACAAGATGAACATTGGAGATAAAAAATTTAAAAGGATAAGCGACAAAGCCAGCTGACACGCAGAAGCGTACCCTATGTCATAGGTAAATTCCTGAACTAACCAAAATAATAAATAATTTCCAAAAGTCTCTTAATAATAAAACCTTTAAAGCATGCGGTGGCGAAATGGAGCAGGTTTAGCTTGGAGTCCACTTTGGACTTGTGGATGTACTGGGCTATCTTGGACACCAGGATGCCAACCATCAGACTTCCCCACACGCCACACTTGTCCAGTATGACTTGAGACGTCTAAGAAGAGAAAAATATACTTTAAATCAACATCATTAGCATATTATCTCATTTCAACGCCCAGAACCAAGCATACGTTAACTAAAGCTGTAATTGCTCAAACTCGGGATAAATTAACACAATTCTTTTGATTATGAAAACCTTTGGACTGTTTTTGAGAATTTCACTTGTAAATAAGCCACTTCAAAATACAGCCACATAAATTTTGTAATCTAAAGAACCCACCTCTTTATCGCCTAGTCTGGATCTGGTAGCCTTTTTCCAGTCCTTGATTACGTCGCTGCTTCTGAAGAGGATGTCAATGGCGTCACTCCACACTCTGTTGGCCTCTCTAAAGTTGCCCTGGTGCAAGTAGAGGTTGCCCAGTTCATGAAGGGCCTGCACCTGACACCCGGTTTCTTTCTTCGCCGAGAGCAGATCTGCAGAAAAGGACAAAACACATCCTTCATTTATATCAAAAGTCTTGAAACAACAGAAAAAAACTGTTCAACCAATTTTCGCACTTAAGTCAACAGAACCTTGACGATACTTTAAATCATAATGATACATGAAGAATGAAGTTACTTTAAAATAAAATTGACTACTTACTTCTAAATTAACTATGCCAGCTTTCTTGTCAAAACTTTTGACGAAACAGATATACTGGTATAACATTTCCCTAGCATTCTTCAGTTGAATAAAATATCCTCAGTTTTATACTTATAACGTGAAATGACTAACAAAACACCTATTTAGAGCATTAAAACACGCACCGGATGCATGTTGGTATGCCTTGATGACAGTAGCCAGTTGGTTGGGAGAGATGGCACAGAACTGGACCTCCTCCAGTCTCTGGAACCGGACTCCCTTCACCTCCTGCGGCACAGGGGTGGGCACATAAACTGGGTTTTCATCTATCCTCACTTGCTGGCTCTCACTTCGAGTCAGTCCAGACTGGCCGGCTGGGTCTTTGGCACCACCTAAGAAAAAGTTTTCTTTACCTATCACCCGTATGCTCTTTTGACCTCAGTTTTGAAAATTTGGCCAAAACAACGTCTTTTTAGTGCTTTAGGAGAATCAATTTGGTCGACCTAAAAAAAGGTCGTCAAGATTTTCGAAAAATTTTTGAAAATCCGCCGCCCCCCCTCGAGAAAATCCTAGATCCGCCCCTGGTACCGAGAAAAAGATTATTCAGCCCTATTGAAGAAAAACTCAATGATTAAGCACATGCGAACATTGTCCCTAGTAACGATTTTTCTCCATCCCTTGGCAATTGATGAAATAGTTAAAGAGATCGGAAAAGAACTCAGAGATCAAAAGTTAATGAGATTTTAAGATCTGAGTTTTCAATATGATATATGACAGGGGCGAATTTTCTCCTCGATCTCAGCTAGATGATTCCGCTGCCATTTTAGTGTGGTTGCTATTGATACAATATCGCTCTATTTTAGAAAAAAGTTATTATGTCTAGTAGAAGCACAAAAAAATAACACAATAAATTAGATTCATCAATAACTCAAGGTCATCTGCAACTGAGCTGAATCATTGGAGCTAAATGATGTCGCGCCATGTAAATGTGTCTTCAAAAATGTCTATACGACCAACAAGAGTGATTTTTTCCCAGACATACCAAGATGGTGTCCTGCCATGTAGAGTGCGAGTAGTCGCCTGGCGTGTCTCAGTGCGTGGGAGAGGAACTGGGAGTGGTCCATGGCCCTGCCCACTTCAGCAACACTCTCCTCTATGTCCAGGGGCACGCTGGCCACCTGCAGGGCACGCACAGGTGAGGGAGCCTGAAAAAAAACGGTGAGATGAACAACCCATTTTGAATGAAAAGAAACGTGAAATACATGTGAAATGGATGAACGAATTGAGGTGAAAAAAAGAAACGGAATATTTTTTAGTTTTTGTGAAAATCTGGATGAGCAAATTAAAAAGAGCAAATAATTATTAACTATTTGTTCTGTTTTGGATGAAAAATCTTCATAAATACGTAAATTATGAGTTTTTCTTGAATTTGTCGAATTTTGACAATAAGTTTTCCCATTTTCTGTTTTCAATTAAATGATTTACACATATTTTCAAGAAATAACAAGCAACAATATTTAGGTTTGAGGACAAAGCAGAAAATGGTTATGTTTGATTTATATTATTCTAAGCCACAAAAATAGATAGTTTACTCTATAGCTACGATATTTGTGTACGTCTTGTATCGAAAAAGTTTAAAGAAACAATTCTTTTTAGGAAAACGCAGCTTTCGATCTAACCTGAACATTCGCTATCTGTCTCAGTTGCATTCTGTTCGTGTTTTCATCTTCGCCCGGAGGCAAGTTCACTCGGAACACAGGCGACTCGTACTTCTCCGAGTACACCTGTTGTCGCGAGAGGGCGGTGGGGGCGAACGAGGGCTGGGGGATGTCTGGCCCATTGTGGTCCAGCACTCTCTGGATCACTTGGTGCTGGGAGAATATCAGGAGAGGGGAGACTTGCTCCACAAATCGACAGCTAGATGGAAATAACAGAATGTTATTAGCACCAAAATAGACTCATCAAGAATGCTCTCTGAGAACATTCACATAGTTTACTTAGAAGAATGTCTAAAATATTTGAAATTTGATCAATGTATTACTGTTCTCGAAGTTTAAAAAACACTGCTTGACAAAGTCCAAAAACAATCAAAAATTTATTGCAAGAGATTTTTATTAAGAAATAATAATATAAAGGCAAAGCAATTTGTCTTTAAGAAGAAACTTCTGTTTGTCAACTAGAATCAATGCAAAAATGCCTTCAAGATATCCAATTTCGACTTTGGTTGACCTTACTTGGTAATGGCGTTTATCTTGAATGCCAAGTCTGTCATGGTCTCCCATTGTTTGTTGAAGAACAACAGCTCCAGAGTCCTCAGGAATATCCTGTAAGCGAAGCGGGCATCAAATAGAGTGAGGTCGTCCGCTATCTTTTCGAAGGACAGTTTGGATCCGCCCACTTCGTCCTCTTGAGTGCCAAACACACTGCTTTCCATAGTTCTCTTGGGCTTCTAGAACATTCAATGACGTCAAAAATTAATATGATCGCGAAAGAACGAATTAATTTATGAGACACTTAGGGCAAATTTTATAAGAAATCATAAATCATTTCAGCTACTAGTTTTGAAATACAGTGAACAACTACCTATGAAAACAATCTTTTGATTTTTTATGATAACAGTAGATAAAAAAAACTACATTAAAACAATCTATTGATGATGAGAGGGAAAATTCCTTTATTGATATAAAAATTCCTTAATTATATCAGATGATGATATACTTTTTCATCGACAACAAGAGCAAAGCCAGAACTAGAAAATGCCTTTAAGAAACAATTGCCAAAAAATTATGGTACTACCAACGCACAAACGTCAATTACATTTATAGTCACTATTTTTCTACCAGCATTGCTTCAAAACTGTTATAGCTCTTGCACGCTTCCACAATGCATGCGTAAACTAATTTCTACGATTTTATCAACCTAATATATTGCCCATACCCTGTTATGATTTTTCATTCTACATTTTTTTTCCAAAAGCGGTAAGACTAGATGAGCTGAATAGCTCTTTTGAGGACTCTAAATGCATGTGATTAAAAAAAATTGTTATAACGATTATTGTGAGACATACATCTGAATTGAAGAATCCAAATATCTAAACATACCTTGTCCTTAGCGAATATCTGGTCCAGCTGTAGTTGCATGTCCACACATACAGAGTGAAGAGCCAAAGACACCTGGACAAAGACCGGAGCAGCACAGCTCCTCAGAGTGTCCATTGTGAGGATGGAGGTGTACTTGGAGGAGCAGATGAGCGCAGACAGACATTGGTAGATGTTCCAGAGCATCTTGATGTTGTTCTGAGCCAGGATCCATAGACCACCACGCTCCGCCAGATTCTGAAAAGTGAGAGGTGAAAAAAATGAAACGACTGAAAAGATAATTGCATCGCTATGATTAAGTGTTAGTGCCAACTCTTACTCAAAATCTAGCTTAAGGTATGCCAGAACCGAATTAACTTTGGCTTCAATATTGATACCACGTGAAAATTTTCATACAAAGCAGTGAGTTTTGTTTGAAAAAAAAAACTGTTGCGATCTGCAAATAAACTCCAGATGTTGGGGCCAAAATTCATAATGGACTATCGATACACAGGCTAAACAGCCTTCCAGAGTTACTCAGTGATTAGTAAAGCGTAATTAATATACAAAAACAATCTGTAGCTCGGATTTTTTTTGAGCAACGCGCTTTAAGATGCGATACCTTATAATTTATTTCAGTATGTTCTGTCTTATCAATAGCAAAGATGGGTAAATTCACTTACGACACTACGTGAGAAAGCGAGGAACATACTCTCCAGTTCCGCCTTCACTTGCTTCGCCGTCAGCTTCTCAGGCACTGCAACTGAAACACAAAAATACAAAATTAGTTTTAAAAGACAGTGACCAAAAGGGTGGGCGAAAAAATTACATTTTGAAAAACTGCCTATAATCAGCAGAACATCATCTGAGTCAAGCATATTCGGAATGGGTATGGGAATTTTTAAAAAGAATATCGAAAAGTTTTGTCGAATTTCTAGCAGTCATGCTTTACCAGCTCGTTATGGTTTACCAGCATTGGCGCCAGCAGGATTCTTCTTTCCACCCTTCTTGTTGCCACCAATTCCCCCCTTGACCCCATTAGATCCAGTTGTTCCAGCAGGCAAGGCTCTTCCGTCGGACACATCTGAAACACGAAACAATTCATAACTCGAAATAGCAAAGGTATTCGTAGCAGCTGTGTTTAAAGAGCAAGCTACAACGATAACTGACAAGAAACAACAACTCACAAAAAAAAACATAATTGTTTATCTTGTACGTTACTAACGATTTTGAGTCCGACAAAGGCGCAAATCTCCGAGAAAATTGACGCTTTCGGGGAAAAAATCATACAAAACCTTACTCATCTTTGGCAATTTAAAAATCATTTTACTGAGAGACAAAGAATACTTTCGAACCACCAGTTATACGACAATAAATATGCCAATTTTATCGGAAAAAAAACACTGAATAGATTTCAAAAAGAACTATCTATTCTACAAAAAAGCGAAGCTGAGCTTCGTACTACTCGCAATCCAAAAATGATTGACCACGACTAAAAGTAAATGAAAAAAAAAATCAAAAATTAATTAAAAAAACCTTAAAAAATGGTTTTTGCCAAGAAAATTATAAAAATTCAAAAAAGCTCAAAAAATTCTGAACAAAACTAACTGCACTAATAAAAACTGTACAAGGAGGATTGGGAATGCTAGGAAAAATCGGAGCTTCAAAAAAAAAGTTCTGCGAGAACTATGCCGACAAAAATAAGCTGACAGACAAACATCTAAAGTAGCCTGAAATTTTCAGTTATCAATAAAAAAAAAAAAAAATCCCCACTGGAATCAAACACCCGGAATTTGTCGTCTCAGTGTAAAGCCCTGAACGTGCCGACTGCCCTCTATCGTCAAACACGGTGTTTTTGATTATGAAAGTTTAATAATATAAGCAAGAAAAATCATAAAAAACCTTATAAAAAAAGGGTTTTTGCCAAGAAAATTATAAAAATTCAAAAAAGCTCAACAAATTCTGAACAAAACTACCTGCACTAATAAAAACTGTACAAGGAGGATTTTCAATTCTAGAAAAAATCCTAACTTCAGAAAAAAAATTCTGCGAGAACTATGCCGACAAAAATAAGCAGACAGACAAACATCTTAAATAGCCGGAAATTTTCAGTTAGCAAAAAAACAGATCCCCACTGGAATCAAACACCAGGAATTTTTCGTCTCAGTGCAAAGCTCTGAATGTGCCGATTGCCCTCTATCGTGAAACACAACGTTTTTGATTATGAAAGTTTTGAAATATAAGCAAAAAAATGAGAAAATGCTATTAACAAGCTATGTAAACAACCAAGTCATATATTTTGCGGATGTTAGTTCCAAATTGATTGCCTCAATTCGACTTAAAACCTTTCCGTCAAAATACTTAGTGAGAAAATCAGAAAGTGACTGAATAAAAACACCTCGGAATCATACGGGTAAAAGGGTAACTTTCGTCGAACGTGGGAACAACAAAGATAAACGGTAAAATTTCATGTTTTACTAAAAATGAATTCCAAAAGAAAAATGACGTTTTAAAGTGAAACAAAGGATCTCGCAGGCTACATTATCAGTGTGGCCAGGGTGTCTCAAACTGCTTGCATTGACGGCAATCAACAAAAATGAATAAGAGACTTAGATTTCCAAAACAGCTTTTTTCTCCTTTTTGACAACTTATAGCGTTAAGTTTTCAAAGTATGTATTCTGAAAATCTTGCTTCAAAATATTAAATTCAAAATAAATTTTTATGGAAATAGAGAAGAAGTTCGGTGAAGACTTTGTGGCACTGATACTGATTTTTTCTTACTGATATGGAATTGATGGCAATGACAGATAACGCTGCGCACTGACACCGTGGAAACCATGAATACGCTTTCAGAATATCAAACGAGACTTCTGCTATTAGCTAAATTTGTGTCTGATTGTCTTTTTTGTAAAACCGAAACAATTTGTTGATTGTGTTGACCAAAATTAAGACCAATAAGAGTTTGATTTGACACCACACTTCACCCCGTATGATTTTCCTTCGAAGTACCAACAATCAGGCGGAAAAAACAGCAAAAACAAGCTACGTCGCAGTTCCTTCCAATCATTTTCGTGTTGTGAGCAAAAACTAAACGGATATACAGTAAATGAAAAAATTCATGTCTTGGCAGCCAGCACCTTAACTCAGTATTTTGGCCATTCTTTGTACAAAATAAATTGATTGATTAAAATTCGTCTATAATTATTCGGTAGGCTATCAAACGAATCTTTGATTCTGTTAGACAAGAAAACCGTCTAACAAAGAAAACAAGATTTGTGCCACAGGCCTCTGGACTACAACAAAATAGCCAACAGACAGTTGGAAAAACAAAAGAAACGCAAAAAAATTCGAAAAAAAAACACTGATTTTGGTTTTGTAAAATCCCAACTTTTGAATTTCAAATAAACGAGTAAACGCCTTAGATACATTTCGCATATCGCAACGTTTTTTGTAGACTAAGATAGCATGCATCAGTTCAATTTAGAATGATTTCTAATGCCGATTAAGTCTCGCTTAACCGTTAATAGCAAGTAATATATAGCCCTTTAATTATCCCAAATTGACAATCTTTAAACCCCAAATTAAAAAAAGGACCACAGGTGAAATACCTTTTTACACTTGAGCTCAGAACAACAATATTTCGAATGATATCTAAAAATATGTCGAAATCGCTAGTTAAAAAATCGAACATTGCCAAACTTTGTTGGGATACGAAAGAGGCTCACTTTGATATAGTTTTGTCAATAATTGACTAGGTAGTTTTTGATATAAAAAATTCCGTCAAAAACTGCTAGTTAAACAGTCAAAATAAGTCTGGAGAAAAAAACCACTACCTAGCACAAATACTCCGTCACTTTCTTCGAAAGTTAGAAAAACAAAAATCAAACAGCAAACAAAATTTGAGCGTCAACAAACCTGAAGACATTTTCTGGAAAAAAAAACATCGCATCCCATATTTAACTCTTCAATATGTTCATAGAGTCCTGAAAACATGGCCAATAAAGAGCTGGAAAAGATTCAAGAAACGCAAGGATAACAGAAAAAGAAACTGACATTTTTTTTGATAAATATTCAACTTTCGAATATCAAAGTAAAAACATGGCCTTAATGCTCTTTGAATTTCAATACGAATTCATGATTGACCGATTTTGGTAAAATTAAAACAATTTGAGATAACTGAACCCATTGGCAAACTTTTGATTCCGTTGGAAAACCAAGAAATTAAAATGTACTTTCAATACTGGATATCGTACTCGTTTTTGGCGCCATTTCAACGTTCCTATTTGGAGAGCACAAATTACCTAACTTTTAGTAGATAATTTTGAATTGAACTCAAAGAGTGCATATATAACTAAGTGCATTCATAAATGCATTAAAATGGATGAATGCGCATCTGTAGTTATTAGAGCATTTTATAAAGTTTTCCTGGAAAAAAAAATAACCAAGACCTATATAAGAGTCTTCACTGCGTTCAATGACTCTTAAACAAATAATGACAACCGATTCAGTTGTTGCCTACATTCATTTCCCATTTATCAGCGGCACATTTTTTCAACTTTAGAAACTCCTTGACGCAGATTTCTTTGAAATTGACGTATTCACTGCTTTTTAGGTTGTTTTAGCAAATAACAAAGCTGAAACAAATCAAGAAACGAATAGCAATGGAGTTTTGAAAACTTTGGTGACATACTAGAGCGGTTAGGAAATTTCCACGCCTGAGATAATTTTTAACGTTTTGTTTTCCTTTATATCTTCTCGCATAAACCTGAAAAAACCCGAATCTGAATTATACCACTGACCAACAGACATAGACATCCGCTTAGGGGGAGGGGGCACTGGCATCATGGGTGGTGGGGGTCCCGCACTGTCACTGTCATCCGATCTGATGGACCTCGGAGAGTCCCCCCTCTCGTCCACTCCTTGACCTTGAGGGGCATCAATGGATCCTAGAAATTTTAAACTCATCTCAGATGTGTGTTAAAGATTAGCACCTATTCTGATTTCGTGCATCCATTCTGATAGCTGAAAAAAATTCACGAAGAATTGGTAAATATGTGCTACAATAAAACGAATTTGAAGTGTATAACTGATTTGACTGTATAACCAACTGGCCTTGTTTCAGTTGCAAAACAAAAGAAACGACAATTTCATGACCAGTAATAAAAGAATAAGGGGCCGGGGACGCCTCTCCCCCTTCAGGAACACGACCCCCAGGGAAAACCAAAGGCTACCGCCTTTCTTATACTTCAAAAAACGCAATTTTGGCATGTTCTGTTTAAAATTCGCCTCTGGCGGAGAACATTTTGACAACATGGTCTTTATACTGTTTTCAGAGAGCTCGGAATATCAATTTGGCCTACCTACATACAGGTCGACCTAAATACCAAGAAAAACCTAAATCAACCTATGAGTTAAATCTAGATCCCGGTCTGTTGATATGTTGATGAGCATAAAAGAAAATCAGCCAAAATATTTACCTCTCTGAGTGTTGTTGGCATTTGTGGGCACTTGAAGGGGATCTTCTGGCGGCTCTGTGTTTCCGTTAAGTTCCTTGTCGTTTGAGTCAATTTCTGAAAGTTTTTTTAAATTTGGCTACTAATTTTACTATTTCATTTTTAAACGACAAAGATAATTTCGAATATCTTTTAACGTTCTCTTTCAGATTTTAAGCCTATTGAAATCGTGAAATTTTCAAATGTCTGAAATTATTTCGAAAAAAGTTTCATAATATTTCTCAATTCGAAAACAAAATAGAGCTGAATAAGAAACATTTGCATCAAAAAACGTCTGTTAATTGCATTTCTGATCATTTTGCGTTTGCCCCCCCCCCCTCCCCTTATAAATGCCCTGAAATGCCATCTCACCTCCAATGACAAGTCTGGATGCCAAATACAACACAGTACTATGTGTATGAGTGGAGTCCCCTCCGTCTCTCTGCTCCCCCCTAGAGGTGCTTCCCCCTCCCGCTGAGGCACCCGGCCATCCGACAACAATGCGACCGGCAGAGTCAAGCGTGAACAAGTCTATGTCCAGGAAGGATACTCTGAAAACAGACTCAATATGTTGTTCTGCTTTAACCATTTCCCGCTCCTAAAGTGCGCCCGAATAAGAGTATAAAGACAGTTCGTCATTGGATTCATATAGCATGGAGATCATCAAAAGCACAAACAGAACAAAAAAATCAAGTATTACATCAAATCTTCAACTGCCAACAAAAAAAAACTGTCAACAACACTCAAAGCCTTCTACAATTTACTGCTTCAAAATAACACAATCTAATATATTTTTCTTGATCGTAAAGTAAACACATGATATAGTACTGGAGATGAACAACTTACCTGCTGGCTGTATCAACACTCTCAAACACTTTGAACAAGGTCAGTTTTTTCATCAGACTCGAGAACACACACACTCCATGCAGAGCATTCAGCTGAAACACAATAGAAAAGTAAAATTAAATTTTGCGCTGAAACAGTCTGTATTTCTATAACTTCCCCAAAAACTTTTGGTGACTGAATTACAAATGTAAATCAATAAAAATCTTCATTTGGAGGAACACTGAGAAGTTCTTTTTTGAGAGCGCACCATGATATATGCTCACAGGTTAAGGAACTAAGGCAACAAGTGCAAAAAAAACAATTCCAAATAAATTTGAAAATGATCGCAACTATAAATTTCCCTAAGAGCTCAAAACAACTCGGAACAAGAAAAAGAGTACGCGGTGCGAGAGGTAAAAAAAATGCACCTATTGGACCAACCGTAAAGTTGCAAGCAATAGACCAAAAAAACTACTCATTTTTACTCATTTAATTACTCGTTACGAAAGTCTGAAGAACAAGCTTTCATTTCTGGAAAACTAAGAAAACTGGGACGCTCATATTTGTTGCAACTGCATAGAGTTGTTTATTGTTAACCAGCATCTGTACAATAAGTGGCAAAAATTGTCAGCCAAATATTTGGAAATTTCAATAAAAATCTCAAAAACATAAGGTTTGAAAGTTTCATGTGCTTAATCCAAACACAAATCTCTAAAGCGCATAGTGTTCTAAATTTGAACACACAGGCGAAGCAGAGCTTCACACTTTTTGCGATAAATCACAAAAAAAAGCATGGCAAGCTAGCCGACAGAAAAATTAGACGAAAGCCTTTAAGACCAGGAAATTGTTTGAAAAAAGACGAGCGAAATAAATCTACCAAAATGTTTATATGCTTGTCTCTATTTGTCAAAAAATTTCCCGTCAATTTCCATGGCTGAATAAGAGTTGAAACAAAAAATTTAAAGTGGTACCTAATCCGACAAAAAATGAGTAGACGCCCGTTGAGTTGAAAAAAGCTTTGTCATTAAAGATTTTGAGCAACAACACGTATAAAAACCCATTTTTTAAAAAGTTTTTTATGCCCAGAAACGCGCACACGAACAATAAAAAAATGCTTTTCGCACAAAGCAATCTGAGATGAATATGCCAGTATAAAAACAGTCCAGAACCTTTGAAGCCGAATACAGTTTTGGCGAAAAAACAAAAAAGAAAAAAATAGTTTATTTACAATCGAATAAACACAAATTTCAAACAAATGCAAATTAAGAAGTATGCATGCTCAAAGAACATCTGTCGACCAGATAACCCATCATATAATCCGCCAATTGTTGCCCCGGATAATTCTAAGATTTTGTTGACTAAGTAAGTGGTTTACTTGAAAAGTTCGGGTTTGATAACCTTTGAGTAATCAAATAGTAATTCAGATAAGGCTGCTCATATCAGTGCAAACTACTGAATGCTGCGACGGCCTTTTAAGTTCTACACAGAGGCGAAGCCATGCTTCGCACCAATTGCGATATAATACAAAACAGCCACTAAATCGGAAAAAACGAATGAAAAAAGTATCAAAAATTCAAACCAAGACAATAGAAGGTAAAAAGAGAATTAGCAGAAAACTTACCAAGCTAAAAACAAGCCATAAATACTTGAGAGAAAACCCTTTAAGCCAAAAAAAATTATAAAGAAAAGACTTTAAAACTATTAAAAAGTTTCTATCCCCCATTCCATTCAACACATACACGAACACAATTTTATGCGATCATTTAGCAAAAAAAACTGAGGCCAAAAAGCCGATACAAAATAGGCCAAAACTTATTTTGAACTGAGAAGGAAAAAGGAAAAAAACTTAAAAAATGAAATTTAGAAAAAAGACTTCAAAATTGATAAAAATTTGTTCAAATCCCATCGTTTTGTTACACACACGCGCAATTTTTTTTGTTTATTAAAAGCGTAATATAAGGCCAATAAGGCGAAATAATATAGGTCGAAACTTACTTAACCGAGAAAAAAGAAAAGTATCAAAATTTTACACAGGCGAAGATGCGCTTCGCAAACACAAGCAAAAATATGACCGATAACGCTGCGACGCATTAGCAGAAACAGTCAATTTGAAAAAAAAGTTTACCAATTGCACATGCCTCAATTTAAAGAGCGGACGCAATTTAGCTAGTATACGAAAAAGTTCATTAAGATATCTGATCCTTCCCAGGTTCGACCCTCCTATTTTGTTGCGGGTCTCCTCCCTACCTCTACGCTACAGATCCATGATACCTTGAAGCTAGTATCAGGGCAAAACCCAAAATGTTCTGACTGCCTTTTAAGGTCTATGGAGCAGTAATAACTTGATAAAAATGTTATTAAAAATAAAATGGACTTTTTTTTTCCAAATTTGACATTTTTGTGGAAATCATCAACCCACACGCCATATAAAACTCAAAGTGATAAATTTTACTCCTAGTAAGAAATCAATTATGACAAATAAGCTTCCTTCAACCAATTTGGAACGATTTCTAAAACGGATTTAATCTCCGCCTACGAGTTAATCGCGCGAAATGTATCGCGCATTAATTTTCCCAAATTGACCAAAATGGCAATTTTTAAACCCTCATAACTCTACAAAAAATGATCACAGGTGAAATATCTTTTCAAATTAAAGCTCAGGACAACAATACCTTTTGAATGAGACAAACAGTTTCCGTGAAAATTGGCTAGTTAAAAAGTCGAAATTTTTCTGAAGAAAAAAACCACCCCGAGCACAATTATTCCGTTACTTTCGTTAGGAAATTCGGAACAATAACAGTTGATGTTAATATCCTTCGCATTGGCTGTACTTAATAGCTGATCATTGATCAAATGAACACTTTCAAAATGAATACATTTTATTGCAATAACATAAGCGTCGCAACAATATTTGCGACTTAGTTTGGAAAAAAAGATAGTTCCTACTATAACACAAGCTATGCTTGTGTAATAAAATGTAACTAAAACAAATAAAACAAGTTGATAAACCTACAATTAACATAAACAGCAAAATTCTAAAAGGACCTATATCGAAAAGCTAACATGCTCAAAATATGTCTGTTGCAGTTTTCAACCGCGAGACTACTGCTGCAGTTCACAGTGGAACGGGCTGAAAATGGAAATCTTGAACTTGGAATCATCCTGTGGAAAAAGTTGTTTACGGGAACAAGTCTAGTGCCCCATGACAATACCTTTGCTTATCAGCCACAGTTATCAAAATCAATTACCTCAAGTTTATAGGATCAGTTTAACTAACTCAGATAAAGTTCTGAACAATTTTTTTCACTCCAAACTCAAGTAGAGTGGGGTGCTTTTATAATTCCTAAATAGGTTTTGTCCGAATGTTTTAAATCATTGCTGAATTTTGTTTTACCCTAACGTCTTAATAAACAAATTGATCACTTCTTAGAGCGTGTTTTTGATCCCACCATTTGAAAAATGGGGAGGAACTTTGGATTCTGGTGTGTTTTAGTTTGTATTTTTTTTTAAATTTCCACGCAAAATTAGGTACCACAAATAATTTTTTTACAGGGCTGAGTGATTATGATATAATAAGGACCTTCCAGTCGTGATTCGAACGAAATTTTAAAATTTAGAAAAAAATTCCCAGTGTCGATAAAAACCTGTTTGAAATTATTGATTTTTGTTCTAATTTCGAGTTATAAATTGAGCGTCCAGGCTTGCGTATTTGTGTGTGTTTTGTTCAAGCCGTGAAAAATTTGTTTTACTCCAGCAAAGTTAGTTTTTGAGTTTTTCAGTGTCATTTTGGAAGTCAAAAAAGTCACACCACACAGAAAAAACTACACGACTTTGAAAAAAAGTTTTTTTTTGGATGGTGGAAAAATTCTGTGCTACTTGCACTGTAACCGTCTATCCTTCTTTCATTTTTTTCATACTTTCCATCACGAGTAAACACTCTTTAAGCGGCTAACTCTCTGAAGAATAGAACAACCGATATATAACATAACACGTACTTTATATGGTGTGGTGGGGGATGATTTTCACAAAAATCTCATTTTTAAACAAAAATTCATTTCATTTTATTACATTTAGTTTGTTAAAGGTTATTACTGCTCAATAGACCTTAAAAGACAGTCGGAACATTCAGAGCTGCGCCCTGATACGAGCAGTCTTGTTATAGGTAATGTTTTTAGCATTTCAAAAACCAGCTGATGTTAATAACGGATGTTTGAGTTATTAATTGTTGCTTGTAACAATGCACATGCTGGAAAACTTTTGCGTAACCTCATAAAGCTGCATAAAATGTATTTTTTTTTTTCATGTGAAATCCTTTCAATTTGAATTTCTGCCAACCTGTTGCCCTAGACCTTCACCTTGAGTGTCTTGTAGGTGGAAAAATAATTATTCATATTGGTTGTATAGTAAAAAATTGGTATTTAGTATTGTAAAATGACATTTTTAGTATCATTTAAATTATAAATGGATGTAAATTATAAATGGATGCGATGCAGAAGAGGCTCACATCGACATTCTCAGCAAACGAGTAGTTGTAGAGTATATTTTGATTGACTAAGTGGAGCCAAAAATAACTAAATGGAGGGATAAAATTATGGATCCAAACTGAGCAAAAATTGGCATTTCAATTTAACCTGAAAGCAATTTTTATTAACGTTCTTTTTTAACGTCCTTTTTGTCTACTGTCAAACCAATATCATTTTATCCGTAAATTTAAATCAGCACTGCATCTTTTCAATTAGATCATTGGATACTCATTATTCAGAATATTTTATTCAAGTTAGGAAAAATATGAGTTTAAAATGGAAACCCAAAATCAATCTCTGGATCTTCTTCTTCGGCTTTGCTATTGAAATTTTCAACATGTTCATTTACATCCCAGTAATTCTCCATAACTCCACCTTCAGGCGGTGGGAACAGAAAGTCATCCTGGCAAGTCGATGAACTGCAAATACACGAGTCAATTACGTCATACTCGTGCATCGATTCATATGCATTCGGCGCTCCAGGCCAACACTCGACCTTGACCTTCGCCCTTCGGAACTCCTTGGCATCACAACAGGAGCAATCTTTGTACTTGGCGCCTTCTATATGAATAGTCGAGGTTGCGCAGACCCCAAAACATGCAGAAGTCACAATTGGATCCACAGTTCGACATAAAGCTCCGTCAACATATATCTGATCAAGATGAACCGGTTTATAGACTGGGTTGCAACCTTGCGTTGGAAACTTGGCACAACCTCCACAACAAGAGAACTCATCATTGCTCCAGACTTCGTCCTCTCGACAGGGAATGTAGTCGCACATCACTCTCTCGCAAGGATCATCGGGAGATTCTACAGGCACTACGTCACGACAAAACCCGCATGTTTTACTGCACTGATCTCGCATTATATCTCGCACCCGGCTGTAATCGTCACAGTAGCCCAGAGATTGCCAATGTTCACAGTCTTCAGGTTTCATCTTGTCCTTGCAAGGCGTCTCGTCCCCAGAAACTCTTCCGTGACCTCCCAAGTTAGGTTCAGGGGGTGCAGGAGGGTCGACTTCGCTGTCGGATCTTCCATGACCCTCTATTGAATACCGCAGAGGCACGGGTGGAGGAGGCACTCCTGAAGGTGTCCCAACGTCTCCTCCGCAGGAATCACCAAAGCAATACTGAAGACTTGGTAGAACTGCCAAACTTGACCAGAGAAGGATCGAGAAACTTAGATGTAAATACATAAGTCCAGCCACTGTCGGATACAATTCAAATCCAAAGAATATTTAACTGTATTCGGACTGAATAATGGGTTTCAACATTTAAAATTTAACGGGTAGCAATAAATTATTGAAGCAGACTAAGTTGCAAAAATTTCAGTTGCAAAAAATGATTGAATTATAGAGGTGCAAAAAGTTAGGACAGACAAATTTTATTAAACATAGCTAACAGACAATTGGAATCACCAAGACATATAGAGAGTTGCAAAGAGTTCGGACAGACAGAAATAATTAAAAAGAGCAATCGGCCAGTTGTGAGCACTTTTTGCATGCAAATTTAAATTTTTAGTTGACATTGAGACATATAGAGAGTTGCAAAAAGTTCGGACAGACAGAATTAATTAAAAAGAGCAACTGTCTAGACATCAACGAAAATTAAAACTGAAATAAACATAACGTCGGAAGTTCATAAAGCAGAGTTACGGGGTCTACTTAACAATCCCCCTTTCGAAGGGAAAGAGATCGTTAATAATATTACTTGCATTGAAATTTCGACCAATTAGAATGCAGCAAAATTCGAGTTTACATACAATGCTCTGGTGCAAATTTACTGTTTTTAATTACAGGGGTGGAGATTCTTTAGTAGATTCAATAAGGGGGAGATTGTTAAGTAGATCCGAGTTTCGCTCCAAACCTATAACCACGGCGTTCAATTGCATCCGAAGCGTCGAAATAATTTATAGTAAAATCTGGATGTTCATTGCAGTCTTTAAAAATTAGGCTAGCATGATCATCGGATAATCGACGATCTCGCATTTTGAATTTGGTCTGACAAAAAATTCAAGGTTGTTCGGCTTCAGATTTTGCATGCAAAAGACCGTCAAAAAGCACTGATTGTTCATTTTAATTAATTCCGTCTGTCCGAACTTTTTGCTACTAATTATACTTTCGGTTTGAAAAATTAGCTTTTGCATGCAAAAACTGCCTGAAAAAAGTCATTTGCTCTTTTTAATTATTTTTGCCTGTCCGAACTTTTTGCTACTAATTATATATATAATTAGTAGCAAAAAGTTCGGACAGACAGAATTAATTAAAATGAGCATTCAGTGCTTTTCGACGCTTTTTTGCATGCAAAATCTGAAGCCGAACAACCTTGAATTTTTTGTCAGACCAAATTCAAAATGCAAGGTCGTCGATTCTCCGATGATTATACTAGCCTAATTTTTAAATTTTGCGATAAAATTCCAGATTTTACTTTAAAAAAGTTAGCAAATTTAGTTCGAAAAATTTAAATCTACCGTTTATGATGTTTTAAAAGTCGAATATCAAGGAGTCATTTTCAATAACAAAAAATAACAGATCAGACCGCCCGAAAAAAGCAAACGGAATTGAAGCTGATCAAATCATTCATAATTTGGAAACTTATTGCAGAAAAAGATAAGCCTGTTCCGTTTGCTTTTTTCGGGCGGTCTGATCTGTTATTTTTTGTTATTGAAAATGACTCCTTGAAACCCTGAGCAAAATTTTTCCTGTTTCAAGGTTTACCATTCGAAGCTTCGAATGTAATTGCCCTTTGTGGTTATAGGTTTTGAGTGAAAACTCTGCTCTATGAACTTTCGACGCCATGCTTATTTCGATTTTGGTTTCCGTTGCTGTCTAGACAGTTGCTCTTTTTAATTAATTCTGTATGTCCGAACTTTTGCAACTTTCTATAATAAGTTCTCCGATAAATTTGTTAAAAGCTATTCAAACTCAAATTTGCATGCAAAAGTTGCTCCAAATTGGCAGATTGCTCTTTTAAATTATTTTGGCTGGCCAAACTTTTTGCTACTAATTATAGTTTTTATGAAAATGGGCGAATTGGTCGTCTCAATTAATTCTGTCTATCCGATCGTTTGGTTTCTTTCATTTAAATCGAACAGATCCGGATACAAATCTTTAATAGAAATAGGAAGTGAAATATTCAATCACATTAATACGCCACACAGGGAAGGATTTATAGGGGGGGGGGGTCCGCCCTCCCCTCAGGGATTCGAACTCCTACCGACCCAAAGGGTCCCCCTTTGTACTATTTTGAGATATCCATTTTTAATGACGAACCCTAAAATCTTTCTAAAGGCGCATTGGGCGCCAATATATACTAATTTTTAGGGGGGAGCGCGCGCCGAAAATATGCGATTTTTTGGTCCAAAATTTTCAAGAAGTGCATAACGCTTTTTTGGCCTGTTTTTCAAAAAAATCTTTTTAGTCTTTTTAGTACTTTAGGAGAGCTCGGAAAAATAATTTGGTCGACCTAAAAAAATAGATCGACAACAAAATTTTTGAAAATTGTTTGAAATTCTGCCCCCCTCCCCACCCCTGATTCTACACTCTGCCCTCTTCACCAGCGCAGTTCGAGGGGGGGGGGTGTAGTTAGTCAACTGACCTGGCTTCTCCAAGGGTACTCCTCGAAAGACACCTTCCTCAGCCGTCTCCTTCTCTGGTGAGTTCTGAAGATGACTGGCAAGTTGTTCTCCAACTTAGCCAGGGCCGGCTCGTCCGCCTCCAGTCTCGATGCCCTCTCTACTTCATTCATCGGCGGCAGATACTTCCGATAGTGCACCAACAGCTAGAAAATAACAGTTCTAGTTAAACAGGTTATCAGAGGTTTTAATAACTAATAAACGATTGGAATATATAAATCGTCTTGTCCAGTATATTCACGTTTTATCGTTCACAAAAAAAGTAAAGTAAATTCCCGTACTTGCAAGAAATGGCGTGCAATCGATTTACAGAGATAATGAAAAAATAGTCTAAAAACATCGACTTCAACTAAAACCAAAGCTAAAACAAGGATAGCCAGTTACTGTGCAAGTAGCACAGAATGTTCCGACCAAAGTCTTAAAAAAATACTTATAAGTTTTCTCAAAATGGTGTCGTTTTTTCTGCATGTTGTGATAAAAAAATTGGAACGAAAAAATAGAACTTAGGCATATTTGAGAGTCATAGTAAAATAGATCATTCGAAAACAGCTTTTGAAGAAAAATGAACAGAATTTTTCGGAAAATTTTTCAATTTTCAAATATTTTACTTCCCAAAATTGCGCTTAAAAACTCTAAAAAATCTTTTCGTCAGTAAAACTAAGTTTTCACGGCCTAAATTAAGGTTAAATAAGCTATTTCAATTACTAACTACCTTACTAATTAGCTCGAAATTAGACCAAAAATTTCAAGCTGGTTTTTCTCAACACTGTTTTCACTCGTGTCGAGAAAAAACGGTGTGAAATTTTTGATTTTTGGTCTAATTTCGAGCTAATTAGTAGAATATTTGAAATTGCAATAGCTTATTTAAGCTTAATTCAAGCCGTGAAAACTTAGTTTTACTCAGATAATGGTAGTGTTTGGAGTTTTTTAGCGCAATTTTGGGAATCAAAAATTTAAAAACACAAAAAATTGTCCGCAAAAAAGTTTGAAAAAAATTGAAATTTTTCTTTCAATTTTTTTTCTCGTTTTTCTGGTCATTTTTCTTCAAAAACTGTTTTTCAATTGAATTATTTTACTATGGCTCTCAAATATGCCTAAGTTCTATTTTTTCGTTTAGATTTTTTTATCACAACATGAAAAATAAACGACACCAATTTGAGAAATTATTTTGTATTTTTCAAGACTGTGGTCGGAACACTCTGTGCTACTTGCACAGTAACCGGCTATCTTTGTATTTATACAATTTTTATACCTATTTTTATACTCATTCACTACAGTTTTATCATTTTCAAAATCTTGACAAAAGTGGCACAAAAAATTTGAGGTTTGACCAGAACGCAAAGAAAAGAGTCACTTTAATGGGAATACTTTGTAAAGAAACATTACATTTTAAAATAATGCATGGTTTAAAAACAGCAAAAACATTGAAGTAACAATATCATTAAATTAAAACATTCGAAAGTTTTCTCTTCGTGATCGCGGGAAAACGTTGAATATAAAAAATCTTTAAAGGATCCCCATGAAATTATTGGTTTCAGCTAGGAACTCTCCTCAAGAGACTGTAGCTAACTGCAGCATTGTTACGGAGATTCTAATGAGTACAAAACTTTGCCGAAATTTAGAAGTAACTTCAACAAAATTTAAGCAAAAGCCAGCATTAAGTTAGGTCGAAAAAGTTTTTACGGTACAAAAATTGATTTTCTACGGCCAACAAAATCAAATAAAACAAACTTCGTTGTTTTGATGATAAATTTTAGTATCCTGCGAAAATCCATATAATCAGTGTTTTACACCGTAAAAACTGTTGAAATCTATTGTAAATCAATTTACTTAGCAAACAAGAACCGTAAATCGATTTTTATACTATATGATATCTGTATTAAAATCAATTTAAATCGATTTCAATCTCAAGTTCGTCAATCAGCGCAGGTTGAATTAATCAAAATTTGTGCTCTGTAAAATCAAACAGATCTCGTTAATTTGAATCGAACAAAAACTCCTTTCCAACTACAACTACAATCAAAGTATTAGATTAAACAGAAAAAGGTACGTTTTTTAAAGGAGATTTAGATTAACAGAGGTCGGAGTTTTTTATAAGAGTTTAAATTGATTTGTAAGTTCGTGCGTCAGACTAGTTATTCGCGAGTGTCAAAAAAAATTAAACAATAAGTAGTATTCTTGGAAGTTTCGAGAAAATGACGGATTTTTTTTTTTAAATCTCGGCGTATTTCTTGTTCAGACTGATTTGGACTTTGAAAATATTTTGAAAGTCTCGTTAAAACATCATCTGAAAAAAATATACGGAGGGGCCCCAAACGAAACAAATATTTCAGTTTCGATCAAGTTTTGTCAAACTTTGGGATTTGAACATTGTCAATTTGAGGCTAACTACCCCAAACAAATTGAAACTCGAGCAACCAATGATGAAACTTAAGCTAGGCCTACAAATGCTCATAAGACTTTGAGTATAAAAGAAAAAAGACTGCTTCTATCAGGTCAAAACTGAATGTTCCAACTGCTCTTTAAATCTCTTTTATATGTTTGGCTCATGATTTTTTCAACATTCATGAGCATTAAAAGATTTCGATTCTTTTTTTCAAAAAATCTTCCTACCATGCTATATCAAGTACCAAAACTTAACTTTGCATCTCTATGCATTACTCGGATCAAGTGGTTTACCTGATTTAAAATGTAATGAATTCTAAACGGGTTAAATCGCTGGCTACGCAATGCATCAAAAGAAAATTTACACAGAAGCGAAGCTGTGCTTCGCAAACACTAACGCGAACACGAAAAAAGTAAGAATTGTAGAAAAAAGCCTCGAATTAGTAAAACTTGGCTTTGTATTGGCTTCGAACCTGCGACCTCAAGAATTGGAGTCACACGCTCTGCCCTCTCGGCCATGAACGCTTAACGATCGGCAAACACTAGTCACAAATAAAGTAGCTACAAAGGTAATAAATTGCCAATGCAATGCAGCAAAAGTGGCAGTAAATACAAATAGACACAGTTTTGCAAGTAAAAAATTGGAATATAACAAATTGAAGGAATCCACACTAACTTTGCATTAATAAATTGGAAAGCATAAAGCCACATTATGTATAAATTATGCATTTCAAAAATTACGAGATATATTGAAATAGAAAATTTCTGAAATCGAGTTTTTATTATTGTTATGTTGTTTGTAACAAATAGCTTCCTTCGGTTCCTTTGCATCAAATGTGTTAATGCAAATACATTAACTGTGCTAACTTGCATCAACTATGTTAAGTTATTACGATTCGAATGTCAAAGCACATGCTATCAAAAAACCGTAACGGTGCCACCAAAGCAGCGCCAACATTTGCGAATTAGATAAGAAAAAAACAATAGTGGCAGTATAACACTAACGCTCACAAACGTTCGTTCGTGTAAATATTAGGCTTGAAATAATTATTCCAAATTGGCCACAATAGCAATTTTCAAACACCCATAAAACTGCAGAAAAATGGACGCCTTTGAAACATCTTTTTTAACTTAGATTTCAAGGCGTCAATAATTTTCAGACTTATAAAAAAACCCTCAAAAAATGCGAGTTAAAAAATTGAAAGTTTTCTGGAGACAACCAGTCTGAGCACAAACAATCCGTCACTTGCTTCGAAACTCGAGACAACCGAATATTACTTTAAATATTTTCGAATTTCGACAATCAAAAAAGAATGATATTCTTATATAAAACTAAATCATTTTGCAAAACCTGGACCAAAAGATAATTTTTCATTCCGATGATAATTCAAAAACTCAAGTCCACTTTTGAAAGTACAGCTCGTTTTTCAACTTAATGATCGGAGAGCGTAGATTGCCTTAAAACTGCCAAAACAAATCACAATGTGATGTCAACAGGGAAGCAAAGTCAAACAGACAAAATAAAAAACTTAAATAGACAAATGTTAAACAGACAAAATAAAAATAAAAAACACGACCTAAAACAGTTAATTATTACTCAAAATCAGATTCAGTCAATGATTACACATGAAAAGAGTTTAAAACAATGGTCGACGCTGAAAAAAAAAATTCAAAGCTCCTACCTTGTTTTTCCGTCGCACTCTCGCCTTTGCCTCGGCCGCCATCTCCGCTTTGGTCCTGTCGGTGTTACTCGCAGCTGCGGTTGAGGGAACAGCCGCCACCTCGGGTACTTGCAGTGCCGCACTCGCTTCTCCGCCGCCTCCGGAAGTGGGGTTCCCTTTCACAGCTTCGCCAGCGGAACCTAAAATAGACGATGAGCTGAATTAGCTTGCTATGGGTCTGATATGAGGTCCGATAGTAAATTTACAATGATTGTAGTGTAATAAATGGAGGACTGTTATGCAAGAGAGACTGATGATCTGACGTACAGCTAACACGAGTTATAATCTTACTGCATAACTTAATTTGTTATATCTAAAGATTCCCATTAAACTCAAGTGAAAATTTTTTCGTGTTTTGGCTTAGAACCTGAGACCTCGAGAATTGGAGTCACACGCTCTGCCTTCTCGGCCATGAACGCTTAATTATCGCTGGAGAAATATATAAATTCCTCCTGTGATAAAACTCGTACGACCATGAAGTTGTGTGTATACTAGTGCGCATATGAATATGATGAGTGTAATGGGCTTAAAAATTTTGTTCAAATAATTGTAAAAAAAGGGCCCAAAAAGGCTAACAGAACGAATTCAGGAACTTTTATGTGTCCTTTCCAGTTTGTTTTCATTGCATGACTAGAAGTAAACACGCGCATCTTTTTTTTTTAGAAAACTCGAAATCAAAATTAGTTTCACTTTGAATTAGAGCCCCTAAAACCGACGTTACTGAAACTTTCTAAAGCACTGCGCTAAAAAAATAGATAGGGTTTACAATTTTTTTCAAAAATAGCTTTTCGCAGTTAGAAATCTGTGTAAAACTGCAACGATAAAAAAATTAAACTTTTCATGTTTTTTCTTGTCTATTGAGTGACAGCTGAAAGGGATTTAAAATGATTACTTGTCTCTATCTGACGTTTTAGTAGTGCCTGATTCTGCAGAGAAAAAGAGCCGAAGCCTTCGTTCAACTAAGTGGTCAGAAGAATATCAAAAACAACGCACTAACCTTCGGTATCGGCAGATCCAGTTGCTTTCATCGTCGCAAGGCCTGGGTGGATCTCGGAAACAACGGCACCGTACTTCTTGTCCTGATCGCCCCCGGTGGCTAAGCCGACGGACCCCATGGCAGGCGCACCAGCTGCACCTAGTCTACCCTTCACTTTGCTGGGGTTCAGCTGGTCTTGACGCCTGAAATCGACAGACACATTACTAACTATCTCATAAACCAAAAATTGGTTGTCAAATAATCAAAGATCAATCAACACGAAAGCATTTATCATTCTCTATTTATATATATAACTATTGGTTTACATCATTTATGAAAACAATTTTGGAGAAGAACGCCTAAAGACAACTCCCAGTACAAAAACATGGAAATTGCAAACATCTAAGTGAAATAATTAACTTTTTCTAGCAGTTCCCAGACAGTTGAAATCGAACTGCCTCGCCAACTAAGAAACTAAATCTAATTTAACCAGAAACTTCTGTCAGCTTCATGAGAAAATAGTATTGGAACAAAATTTACTTATTTAAGCAATCCTATTTGGTTCAATATATGGTGCTAACAGACAGTTGGAAACGTGTTTTTCAGTTAGTTAAATCTCTTTGAATTTCAAAAGTTTTTAAGGTGGACACTTTTTTGATGAAAAAACCCAATTTCAGAAATCACAATTTTTTGGCGGCCGTTGCACATTTGTCATTGAATAGCGCATTGTGTCTTTCATTAGAAAATGAATTTGAGGTGAATTCCAACAAAGACCAAAACTCAAACAAAAAATTTTTGGCGCGAATAACTTAAATTTTTTTTCTGAAATAGCACCACAATGTTAATAAATGAAAATCAACTTCATTCACTGATTGTTAGAAAAACTCTTTCAGAAACCGCCTAGACATGATAAAAATAACCAATTCTGGCTGGCAACTGAAATTCTTTTAACATCAAATCAGCAATATTTCTTTAATCATTGCTCACAAAATTAGTTAAGAAATGCAGGGTAATTATTTCATCGGTTAAAAAACTACCAAAACGAGTACTTTGAGGTTCATTATGAGAACAGATGTTACGTCTCCGAAACACTATTTTTTGATAGCATAAAACTTATTTGTTTAATGGGTTCGTTTAAAAACTAGTCAGAATGAAAAAACACCCCAAGCATTTATATTACAGACTCCCTACGAAAGTCAGAACAATAATCAATCTTTGGTCTAATTGGAAGATCAACATTATCTAGTTTATTTCTAAAAATTTTCGTTTTTTTAGCATTACCTAAATTTTTTTTATATATGGTAATCAAAGCGTTGCGAGGATCATTGCAGCAGGATTCGAGGATTCTTGCTTGAACATCAATTGTAGAAAAATATGTAATGACATCACCAATACTTCTGAGCGCTCAAACTTATGCTATTTGGCAAGAGTTCTAAATTATTTAAGTAAATAGTGACTATTCTCATGACAGAAGGACTGAATGTGCAAAAATGACATTAAATTAGCCAAACTGACTATTTGCAGTTTGTCACTGAATTTCTTTCGAATTTTTGAATACTGAATTCTAATTGGCTAATATCGTTTTCGGGCATTCGGTACTTCGGCCACTAGAGTTTCCCTAATTAACTTGATATAGATATCATGCATTGCACACTAACTTTTTCAATACTACAAACGCTCTAAAACATTAGTACAAAATTAGCAGAAATTTTCATGATAAAGAATAATAATACAGAAAGAAATGAGTCTAGTAGACCTTTTCCACTTTTTATCGTGTTTTTCACGATCTTCGCTTCCATTCGTTGTCGAGCTAAAAAAAATCAAAAAAAAACAATAAATGCTCATAAGAGTGACCAGCTTCTTATGAAAATGAAGAGGTCGTTTTGACCAAAACTTTTCGAAAGAAAATTATTTAGAAAACAGAGCCCGAAGCTAATACACGCAAAAATCAAATACTTACACAAAGGTGAAAAGCTTACAACTAGCAATATAACACAACTTGCAATTATCGAGCAATATCGAGCCGCATAAAAATTGAAAAAAACGCAAAAAAATAACAGCCAAAATTTATATACATTTTGATGATTCAACTGAATTTGATGAAAAATTGTTGCACAACACAAGGCCAGCTTTAAACTAGCATTAAAAAAACATAACCGATCGGTAAGTATGCAGACAAAGCGTCGGTACACCCCCGTTGTGCTGAGAAAAATGATTATAAAAAAGTCCAAAAGTTAATTTGGCCATTAATTTGAGTTGATTTGCAACATAATTTTTCCAATATTATAATGATTAGGAGGACCAGTTGCCAGGAACTAAGTCCAAACCAAGTAAGACAAAATATCCAGAAGAACTATCATATGCCAAAAAAAGCTGCCAAAAAACTATCATATTTTCAGTTTTTTTAAACAGCAGAAACGCTTGGTGAGTACTTTAAAAACAATATCTTAAATTAATTAAATCTGATTATACTTGAACAGCAAATGAAAAATACAATAAGCAGAGCAAGAGGAAAGTAGGAAGTTTACTGGAAACAAGTAACGAAATAAAATAAATTTGACAATTTTTTAAAAAAAAACACTGAAAGCAAAATATGAAAATTTTCAAAGGTGTTTTTTATCTGATAGCATGATAAAAATTGAGGGTATAATAAGCTGAAAAGCAACTGAAAAAATTTCAGTTTAAAAAAATGCATCTATTACCTACAATGCAAGCACTAGCTTATGTAGGCAAAACAAGTAAGATGCACATTTGTAATTCTTCCATTTCGAACTTCCTTCTAAATGTACTTTCTATCGAAAAATAGTAACGGGAAAACTGTTGCATCCAGTTGCAACACCCTTGCTTCACGCAAGAGTAAAAAGATATTTTAAAAGATTTGGGAAAAAAAGGAATAAAAATATCTGTTTTGAAATATAAAAACGTTAGCATTCGAATCTCCAACCGGGCATTAATTGGCTTCGGTATCGTTCAACCCTACAAACAATTAGTTTATAAATTCCTACAAACAATAATCAAACCCAGAGTCAACACAGAGACGAAGCTGAGCTTTGCGCCACTTGCGATACAACAAGTAAAAGAATCAAACAGCTTGATCTTAAAAAATTATGAACAATGAAATTGAAGGAGCTAGAAAAACAAACATAGCTAACTGACAGTTGGAAAAGAGAAATGAACGCAAGTAAACAGAAAAAAAACACTGACTTTGTTGAAAAATCTCAACTTTCGAATTTCAAAGTAAAAAATAGATGCCCTTTAAACTTTTTGAAGTTCTAGAACAATTTATGATTGGCGCTTTTTTGGTAAAATTAACCCACCTTGAGAAAATGGATCGATAGGTAAAATTTCTATTCCGCTGGAAATCCAAAAATTAAATTCCACTTTCGAAACTAGAAATCGTTCACGTTTTTTCGCGCGATTTTCACGATTGTATTTGGAGAGTGCTATTTACGTAACTTTCAGCAGATGATTTTCAATTGACCTCAAAAAGTGAATATATACCTAAGTGCTTGCATAAATGCATTAAAGGCACAAGGAAGCTTTAAAATAAAGAAAATATACAAAAACAAAAAAAGCCGAAATAATGCCCGGTCGGAGATTCGAATAGTAGCGTTCGCTAACAGTTTCATGTTTCAAAACAGATATTTTTAATCCTGTTTTTTCCAAATCTTTTCAAATACAAAGGAAGCTTTAAAAGAAAGGACAATACAAATCAAGTAAAAAAATCTTTGAGGGAAAAAATATGAAGTCATTTAATAAGGCCTTCTTGTTCAAATTCGGGTTATTTTTTTTTAGCAAAAGTTGTTAAATTATCGCTTTTGTTTATGTTCAAACAAAAAAACTTCTCACAATACTCTAATGCATTCTGAACTATGACAAAAAGTTATGGCTTTGACGCATCTATCTATGCCATGGCCAACTAGGTACTGAATAAGAGAAAAAAAATGGATATACGCCCTAATTAAAAAGCCTACCCAGAGACGAAGCTGAGCTTTGCGCCACTTGCGATACAACAAGTAAAAGAATCAAACAGCATGAACCTCAAAAATTATGACTCGGAACGATGAAATTGATGGAGCTAGAAAAACAAAACAGCCAATTGACAGTTGGAAAAAAGTAATGAACGCAAGTAAACAGAAAAAAAAATACTGACTTTGTCGAAAAATCTCAACTTTCGAATTTCGAAGTAAAAAAATAGATGCCCTTTAAACTTTTTGAAGTTCTAGAACAATTTATAATTGGCGCTTTTCTGGTAAAATAAACACACCTTGAGAAATTGATTCGAAAGGTAAAATTTCTATTCCGCCTGAAATCCAAAAATTAAATTCAACTTTCGAAACTAGAAATCGTTCACGTTTTTTCGCGCGATTCCACGATCGTATTTGGAGAATGCTATTTACGTAACTTTCAGCAGATGATTTTCAATTGACCTCAAAAAGTGAATATATACCTAAGTGCTTGCATAAATGCATTAAAACGTATGAATGCACATTTTCAGTTTTTTGAGCATTTTAAGGCTTTTTCCCGAAACAAAAAAATCACCAAGACCTATATAAGAGTTTGGACTACGTTCAATACTCTTAAAAAAACTAAGAATTGAAAAAATAAGTTTTTTTCCTGATTAAAATTGTTTAGGTTTTCTACAGTTTCTTTCGGAATTCATTTTGAGCACTCGAAAAAAGAGTGCCAGACTATTATTGGTCAAAAAAATTCACCAAAAATTTGTATGAAACAACATTTAAGGTAAAAAAAGCCGGCAAAAGTTAAGCCGTCAGCCAAAAAGCTGAAAATCAACCAAAATTTTTCAATAAATTTTTTTGGAAAAAACTTCAATCACTAACCGCATAGTGTCCCCAAGTGATACAAATGGCCACATAGTGTCCACAAATGCTATATATGTAGTGAAGACAAAGTATACAAAACTCAAAAACTAAACCGGCAGAGTTTAAGTCGACAACCATATAGCAGAAAACTTGCAATACAGCACAAACAAAGCGGGAAAAACTAGCAGACAGAAATTGATGAGACCAAAGCCGCTACCTCAAAGAAAACGTTTTCAAAATATCGAGAAAAGCTAAATTTACCACTAGATATTTCGTATCTTTCAATAATTAGCCTGAAATAAAGTTCATTTAAACAAATAACATGCCAAACAAGACAACTGAAAGTTTACCTTGCATCTAGCAAAACTTAAAAAGCAGTA